CGCCCATCTACTTCCTTTTCCTTCTTTTTTCTTCATTCACTTCTCGACTTATACAAAATTCTGAGCTTCCCCTTCTTTTCCACTCCTTCCTTCTTTTCTCTTTTTATTACTCTCCGCTACTTCCCTTTCTGTTTCTGACTATACTCGCCTTTTCCTCTCTCTATTCCCCTTTATCCTCACTAACTTATTTCTCTACTCTAATTTCTCTAAAATCATATCTTATAATTGCACACTCATTCTCCGCACACGTACAGTCGTCAACATATCAGTTGCACTTTTTTTCGTAGGTTTTTAGTATATATTTAATATATATTTTATAGGTAAATATTTTGCAAATGCGAATCACGATGATGTACTATCTTTAATCTAGAGACAATACACCAATCGTGGTTCGCATTTACAAAATATTAGTGCGTTTCAAAATCTATTAAAAGAAAAAGTGTCGCAACCAATACGATGATGTCCACGACTGCACATACACACACTCGCTCTTGCCATCTAATCAAGTTTTAATACAAGAATATGAACTAACTTGAATCGTGATAGGGACGAGATCAAGTAAAGCTTGTTTAGCGGCAGCAACGTTCTCAGGTTGTCCGGTAATACGAATTATATCGCAAGCTGGGACAGTTTCCCCACCTTCTCCATTTTCACCGTTAACTTGTTCCGATACCTTTTGCTCATCTGGAATAACATATAAAATCAAACTTTTTTTTTATAGATTCAATAAAAATAACAATTCGCAGTGAATTAACTTGCGTATAAGAAACAATAAAAACTGTGCACTAACCGTAAACATCGCGATCAGGGAATTTAATTTGCACATCAAATTCGGATGTTATGCTTTGCACTTTGCGACCCTTTGCACCCATCACCGTACGGTGGTGTCTCTGAGATATTATGCATTCCACCGTTACCATAGATTCCTAGATAAATTGAAAAAACAACGATGAGGGCACGTAATAAACGGATTATATTCGTTTCGTTCAACAAACTTACCAGTTCTTGAACGATTTCTCGCATTCGTTGCTTCGCCGCTTCTATGCATTCGTGCGAGCCCTTCAAACTAACGCGGTCGCTGTCGACGCCAGCCCGCGGGAATGAAATCTGCACACCGCCGCACTCGTCGGCAATTCGGTGTAGCACACCGCCTCTTCGCGCCACGAAATGTCGATGATGTTTAGGATCAATACGAATCTCGCCCTCGATAATATTGTCCTGGAAAATATGTTAAAAAAGATTTCAGAGATTTATCTACGTATATTTATACGGATTACTCGAAAATAACGCGATCTCCCGTACAATCTCTTTAATCATAGCTTCCAAGTCGGCCTTAGCCTTCTCAACCGATTCCTTCTTGCCCATAATTGTAATCACTTCCTTATCTTGATCTTCCTCCGTCGGGAACATGATTCGTGCACCCGTGGACTCTCTTAGCTATAACAAAAGGAGAATTATATAAACATTTATTTCCTAAATAACTATTTGGGCCCTCAATTGTGTATCTTGGAATAAGGTAAAATAATTACAAAAGTGAGCAAATTCACCACAATATTTTTAATTTCATTTTTGTAATTTTCACCTCGTTTCAAGATAGACAATCGATCCGTTGAAGATGCAATTTTCGCACTCTTACCTTCTTGATGTTGGCACCATTCTTTCCAATTAGGAATTTATGATGTTGAACTTTGGCACGCACTTCAGCCGAGAAACTAGACAATTGCTTTTCATTGCTCAGTTCTAAAAGCTGCGCTTTCGCTTTCTCCACGTCGTCCTTTGGACCTCTGATAGTGACCTATGTATATACATATATATTCGTAACAATTTCACTTTGAAAGAATGATCTTTCACTCAAAGAATTATCTTTTTTTTTTTTTATTCTTTTACCTTGTCACTTTTACTTTCTGCCGTAGGGAATTTGATCGTGACACCTCCGCAATCTTCCATAATAGAATGTATCAATTTGCCTCCAGTACCAATGAGAGAATTGTAAAACTTTGGTGGAATAGTGATCTCGTCGGTGACAATGTTAGCCTAGTGTGATAAGTATTTTATGAATTCTCAGATATCTCTTGATATTATTTACGCTTATGTAGAACATTAACAAATTACCAATTCATTTTGAATCTTTTGTATCATTTCTTTAGCTCTCTCCACATTTTCCTTTTTCCCGGTGATAGTTATAACATCGCTCTTCTCGCCTTCTGCAGGCAAATCGATTTTGGTTTGCGTCTCTTCCCTAATCTGTAATCATATAATTTATTTTATTTATAAATGCAAATAATGAAAAAAATGCAAGTAAAAAAAAACGAGTTGTAATGAAATCTAATACACACCTTACGGATGTTAACACCACCTTTTCCAATAACAAACTTATGAAACTGTTTAAAAATAGGTACTTCCAATACATGATTGCTTTCGTTCAGTTCTTTCACCAACTTCATTAGATGTTTATGGCACTTATCTACGTCTTCTTTAGGTCCTCTAATCTTCACTATATCTCCTTTTTCGCCTGAAAAAAATTGATTAGCTGATTTAAAAAAAATGTAGGCAACGTTGGGACGACACAAGTGCTTTATCACGATGTTGCAAAATAACGCAGTGTAAAGTAAATAAATGTTGTTTACCTGGTCCAGGTATGGTAATTTGTACTTGATTAAATTTATCTCTAATCTCTTTGATATTATCTCCTTTGTTACCAATTATGTTACGGTAATATCTGTGATCTATAATCACATCTTTTTCTTTCTCATTTTCTAACTTTTTCACCATTTCTACAAGTTCCTATAATTGTAAAATAAAAACATTAATGCTTTTTTTCTGTTGATCTAATGATACTTGCCGCTAAATAAAAATATAACTGAATAAATACATACCGTTTGAGCTTTTAACACCCCAGCAAGATTGCCTTCAATACGAATAACGTTACTGCCATCAGTTTCAGAAATGCTAATCACTACACCCGTTCCTTCCTTAACACGATTCACTTTAATAAAAACATATGTAAATTTAATGTAAATTCGAACATTCTTCTCTCCGTTAAGAGATGAAAACAATTGTACGGTAATTGAAATTTATAAATATTTATAGATATTTAAACTGTGCTCACCATTACAACCATTCTTCCCAATGATATGCTTGTAGAATCTGGGGTCGACATTTAATTCTGCGAAAGTGAGTTTTGCTATAAGATCGTTGGCCATAAGCTGTAACTCGGCTTGTGCTTTTTCTACTTCCTCCGGCGGCCCTTCTATCTTGATCTTATCTTCTTTTCCAGTAAATTCTACATTTACTTTTGGCATTTCTTGAGTAATCTTCTTGATATTTACACCTTTGCGTCCAATGATGTATTTATGTATCCACACTGGAGCTTCCACCACAGCAGTGCGAACACTATTTGCCTTCTCGTACACTTTGTTGAGTGCTATATATATATATAAATGACAATAATAAATAAATATATAATATTACCTAAAGATATAGTATTTAAAGAATATAAATAGTAAAATTCAATTTTTCAATTGCTTACCCTGACCGAGCTTCTCTTGAGGTCCTCTAAGAGTTATGGTACCAGTCGCCGAGTCAGGTGCGGGCATTTCTACGCTCACCCCAGTTGTTTGTAATATTTCTGCTATGGTGCTACCACGAGGCCCAATTACATACTTATGCTGAGATTTGGGAACCTCTACGGATACGGTAGTACATCTCTTTGCCTACATTAAAAATTTACATGTTACATAAAATAATAACAAAAATTACAATCTTTGTTATGTGAGATAATAAAAATACATATAAAATAGTTTTATTAAAGCCTACCATATCCTTGTAGATGATCTCAATCTTCTGCTTTGCAGCCAAAACTCCTTCCTTCTCACCAGCAATGGTTATTTCATCCTGCTGTACCGATGCAGGAGGAATATTAATGCGAGCACCAGTTTCTGCCATCATAGCATTAAGATTTTCGTTATGCGCACCATATATAAACGGATGATATATTTTTGGCACAGTTATCCTTTCGAAAGCTTTCCTAGACTGTAACATTTATGACGAAATATTGTTGTAAGACAAAAGATTGTATATAAATGCATTATTGAAAACAGAATGTACATTCGTGAACAATGATGTTGCGGCACTTTTTTTAATGAGTTTTATGAATGGTGGTTTTTAACATTCTAATGTTTCTTAAATTATATTAAATAAATTATATAATTTGATGTTAGTATTAACATTTGGTACAGTACCATTTTAATTATATGTAACATGTTTGTGAGTTTACACATTTGTAAATGCACAGAAAAAAAATGTTGCAACCTCACTGTCGACCACGACTGTGCATATCCGCGTACAGTAATTGTTATTAAAAAAAAAATTACCTGTTCATCAGAAATAACTCTAATTTCGTGTTCGGCCTTTTCAATGCCCTCCTTTGTCCCAGTAATTGTTATTATATCTGATTGATCTTGCACACTAGGTACGTTAATTTTTGTAGCAGTCTTCTGCTCAAGATCTTTTAATCTCTGCCCTTGCTTTCCAAGAATCCAACGATGATGATCCTTAGGAATACTAATCTGCTTACTTGCCTACAAAAAAAAATGGCGGAAATACAGAATAATTTTTGCTTTGGAATGTACAAGAACATAATGGAAAAAATAACATTAAATATTGGAAACATTCTGTTTATCGTAAGAATTAAATACAAAATGTATATTGGCAATTCATTAGGTTGTGGGTCTATATATAATGTATCTCTCTCAATAGAGGATTACCTGAGTTTGAAACGTTGTTAAAATGCGCCGTTTGGCTTCTAAAACCTGATTTTGCTTTCCAGTTATAAGAAATGTCAGAGACTGATCCTTAGATGATGCAATTTCGATAATAGTATTCGTCTCTTTCATAATGGTTTTACACGTACGAATGGATTCACGTTCACCAAATTTATCACTATGATCAAACTTGCGTTCTTCCCCCGGTACACGGAACATCTACACGGAAGTGTAAAAAGAACAAGTTTTGTGTATAGTAAAATACAATTCTAATTTCACTGTAACAAGTATATCTCAAATAACTCGTATATCTCAAATTATTCAATTAAAAGAAAGATTGTAAAATCTATAAATTGAACGTCTTGCAAAAACAATTTTTAATTCTTACAAACTTTTACCTGTGTAATAGTAATACGACTAAGTTGTAAGTTGTTGGTTAGAGAAAATATGTTTAACTGTCCAGAGTTGGAGCTAGATGATTCAGGGAGGACAGGGAATGTCTCGTCGTAAGTAGGTGGCTCGTAGGCCGTTCCCTCTTCCATTACTGATTGCTGCTGCATTTTTCGGATGTCCTGTTTCGTGCCAAGTCCTTACAGTAGCACTACAATGCAAATAAGAAATATTCCATCTTTTTAACAATATTTTTAAAAATATACAGCATACATATAAAATACATAAAAGTAAGAAAAAAAATACATATAAGTAAATTGTATAATTAATATTTTTTAATTATTAAGACAATTAATTCATACAATAATGTCAATAATACGAGGACAAAATAAATCTAATGTAAATGTAGCGAAACTCATTTATATTTTAATACACATATGTTTCATATATACACATATGTTTTATACATATACACGTCATTTATACATAAAAATGTGCATGCGTTTGTATAAAAATTATTTTATTTAAATTATTACTTATTGCACCGGATGTCATTTAATTAAATACTGAAAGTCTCGATTTTGCGACGAAAAAAAGATTATCACCGGCGGGGACGTCGATAATCACATCGTCGATAAATTTTCTCGGATAACCCGAACAATCGCGAAGGGGTGGGCATTTTCGCGAAGGCCGATTGAACGCGCGACAGGATTTCGCAACTGCATATATATATATATATATACATATATATACATAAAATTTTTTTTTCCTCGCATTCCTCGACTCCCCCGTCGCGGTAACGGAATTCCTTCGAGGCGGTCAACGGATCGTATGTCGCGGAAGCGACGACGGATATCATGCGCGCGTAGCCGTCGCAGGATACGGTGGTCCCTTGTCTTTCCAAGGCCGACACCGGGATTTCGCGGCATGCGGGGGTCGCGTCGCGACGGCGGCGGATCGACGAACGGACGCACGCCAAGTGCACGTCAATGACCAATGGCTGGATGGAGACAGTGACCACCATATGGAATGGAGCGTTAAGTTGACACGTCACGAGATCGCTAACCTCTCGCGTCGGTGGGCCCCCCCAACATCTGCACGTTGCGGCGACGAGGAGGAACGGTCGCGGGACGGAATGCGAGACGTGGCCGGGAAACGCGGGCCACGTCTCGGGAACGACGCGGCCACGCGGCGCCCGGGAGAGGCGACGGAGACGGAAGGAGACGACGGCACGCGTGCAACACGGAGCGCAGAGAGTTTTTGAAGTTTTGCTACTTACTCTACCGTAGTAAAGAAATCCGGCCAAGTAATAAACGCGTATTACGTAGCCAGGTTTAACGGTGATTTGCCTGAAACAGTACAACACGTCGGTTACGAGGAGCGAGCGGCGCACACTGCGGGGCCACGAGATCTAATTAAATTAACGTGGAGCGGAATTATCGCCCCATTACCGCGAGATACCACCACGACTCTCCTTACCGGTAACGCAAAGTGAAATGAGACGGTGGCCCGTCGGACGACCGAAAGTCACCACTCTCCGCGGATCTTCGGGAGAATAGCGACGGGGGCTTACGTCACGACGGGGATACCAACGGTCGTGGCCGCGAATCACCACGTGGCCGCATCGTCGCGCTGATTGGATACCGAGAAACGTGGACGCGAATGCTCTCCAATAAAAATACACGCACACACACAGGCGTACGTCACACGCGACCACGCGAGTGACTAGGGACTCTTTAGCTCTAGAATGGGATTCAATCGCCACGGCGTTGGCTAATCGAGTTTAATATAAAATTTTCCGATTGGCCGATCCAGTGGTAAAACTGCCGGAACACCTGCCATCGCGAATGGCCGCTCCCGATTGGCTGTCGACCCAGGGAAACTTTCGGGACTCGAAGCGCTCTGTCCGACCGTCGCCAGCTGTCACTTGTCAGCGGTGCCGTCGTGCGTTTGACAGATTGGCCTCCACTTCTCGACTTCGTTTCCCTTTAAACGGCCGGAGTCAGGAGCCTCCGTACGACGCTTTCCCGCGTGACTCCAGGTCAGGTCGGGTCAGGGCCGACGCGACGCGACGCGGTTTCCACGACGGATTATGCGTTAGCCCGTCGCTCGGCGGCATCGTGACGGATACCCCCGCGCCTGGCTGGAGCTCAAACCCCGTGCGCGATTAATGATGCGGCCGTCCCGAAAGCAGATGACATGACGCCCGCGCGCACAGTGATGAGGAACTGCGATATTAATCGCCGCGTGCCGTTCAGCGAGAGCGAGAGAGATGTTCGTCAGAGATCCCTGTGGCATCATATGCATTATCGTCACCTACATGGCGGTGTTCTACGCCGACTACGTCGTGGTGCGATGGATCGTGCTGCACACGATGCAAGACAGGTTCGCATATAAAACAGGAATTATACATTCTGCGTGACGTCTCACGTGGCGGTTATTTTACGCGATAAATTTCCTGCTTTCCTTTTTTAATTCGTCGCAATTTCCCAACGAAAGGTGCACATACAGCTACAGCAACATTGTTCTCTTGTTCGCAGCTTATGGTGCCCCTTCCATATAATAGCGTTTAACACTGTCGTGCTTCTTCTGATGATGGCCCACTTGAAGGCCGTCTGCAGTGATCCGGGCATAGTGCCCCTGCCGCAAAACAGATTGGACTTTTCCGACATTCACGTCTCGACGGGGAGTGACGACCACGAGGGCGACGAGAAGGACGACTGGACGGTGTGCACCAGGTGCGAAACGTACAGACCGCCCAGGGCGCACCATTGCAGAATCTGTAAACGTTGCATCAGAAGAATGGATCATCACTGTCCGTGGTAACTATGTAAAGATTAATGCGACGACTGGTTTTTTTTTTTTTTTAATCAGTCTCGCTACACACCCACGATGATACACACACGAGTTTTGAATCTACTAAAGGCTCGCAATTGAATGGTTTAAGGATCAATAACTGCGTCGGCGAGAGGAATCAAAAGTACTTCATACAGTTTCTGGTGTACGTCGGTGCACTGGCTATCTACGCTATTATTTTAGTCATTACGTCCTGGATCTACGACTGCCCGCAGTGCAATAACGATATTGCAGTCAAACAAAATCGCATGTATGTACTTGCAATTACTACGGGAAAGAGTGACCCCCCAAAAAGGTGGTTTTTTTCGCCCATTTTTTGGGGGCCTCGATATCGATGGGACTGGATTGTGTGCCAAATATAATACCTTATAATGAGAGATTAATCACAAAGAAGTTTCAGGTTAAGGTGGACAATTGTTATCACAGCTGGAGGGAGGTTCTTATTACGTCTCTTTACACGAAAACTCGATTTGTTTACATCCAAAACGAGCGTCATTTACGTAAAACTGTGATCAATCTTCTTAAAATACCAGACCTGTGATAATTCCATAATGAATTTTCTGATAACAATTGTCACCTCAACTTAAAACTTCTCTATAATTAATGTCTTATTATAAGATATCATTTATAAGAGATCACATTTAATATCACAGTTTAGTCTCAAAATCGAGAAGTTCAAAAAACGGACGATTTTTTTAGTCACTCTTTACGACGGCTGGAATATACTAACGGTTGGCCTGACGTTTTGTTGCAGTTTACATTGTGTGATATTAGTTTTGGAGTCGGCGTTGTTCGGCATGTTCGTCATAGCGATTCTGGTTGATCAGTTCCAAGCGATCCTAGGCGACGAGACCGCCGTGGAGCGCGTGCAAGGTATACAACAACGCTACCACAACAAGAATACACCACGAACGTTCACGCTTCTAGCACAAGTATGCGGCAAGAGCCATCCGATATTTTGGCTGCTACCTTGCCACAATCCGCCGCGTTACTCCTTCAGAAAGGACGCGTATTTAATCGATCACGAGGTTTGAGGAATCGTGTACGAAAACGATCGAGTGTATTATGTATCTGCACATACATATGGTATTTTTTTGTATTATTTTTTATATAACAGTATATAGAGTAATTCATTCCGTGGATTAGTACCTTGAAACACGTCTTTGTATGAATTATTGACATAATATAGATTTGAGACTTGTAGCTATAACGTTTCTACGGCGTGGAAATAATATATATAATTATACATAATAAACATTCATTTTTATTATATATTCAGACGATTAATATATATTATGAATATATTGATCATGATCGTTTATACACCTGAATATGTATTTCTTTCTATATTAAGACGATTAATATATATTGCGAAATATATTAATTATTATCATTTATATACCTAAATATGTATTTATTTAAATTGCGAACAAACAACAGCTTTAATTAATATATGTTATTACTTATGTTGAAACATATGTGATAACAGTACAGGCATAAAGTGTAATTGACATTATATGTTAATAAGTTCATTTTCTTATTTCTTCCTTTAAAGTTAAAATATATATAAGAATTAAGTGATGCTCCAGGTGATACAAATAAATAATAATTCTTTGATTTAAGACAATTATTGCTAGGAACTGTATCCTCGCCTAATAAATTTATTCGCTGCAAGGATTGTATTGTAGTATTCTAGAAAATAAAATTGTTAATATAATTTCAAAAAATGAAAGCTTTATTATTGGATAATTAATACGTTTTTTTTTAAAATAACTTTGATAACAATTTTATTGCTTAACTCATCTTACCTGTATATATACATATTCGTTAATTAATAATGGTAGTTCAATCTGTAAACGAGATGGTATTTTATTAATAACTAAGTAAAGTTTATAAGTTAAAATTTTTCTTTTAAAGAGGAATATATGTGTGACAATTAAAAGTAATTATTTTTCAGATATCAAATATACAATTTTATTGGTTTTTTTATTTTATATATGTATTTCTATGTCAATTATTTTTCGAGCTGGATTTTGGATTTTTTAATTGTTAACAAAAGATGACCAACCTTTCGTCAAAATTCTAGTCATATTTCTAGCCATGTTAGCGACATCTGTCAGTAACATTATTTTAGAGCAGTTTACCTTCTATGTTCAGTAACGATTGACGTTATTAGGTTAGAATTATCAATTCTAACCTATGATTCTAATCGGAATATGTTTTACTTTGTTATTTAATATTGTTTGCATGAAACGTTAATTGATAGCGTTACCACAATCGATATTATCATTTTTTATCATTGTTTCCTTCATAACCTGTGTCGACAGTGACAATTTTTATATGAAATCAACAATAGTTTAAATAGTTCAGTATTAAATAATCAAACATTATGAGTAACATTATGAAAACTGCAATTTTGAAAAAGGTATTTTTTCTTCAATAAAATGTTGACGAATTGGAATTATTTGGGATTTATTTTTCATCATTTATATTGTACTTTTTTTATATCATACTTTTTGTTTTCAGATTACAGAATCTTTGACAAACGTTAACAATATAGACGTATGCAGTGTTGCATCTTGTCTGCATTTAAAAACACGAAAAGCAGAAGGAATTTACTCTTTCCTACTTCCATTGAAAACTAGAGAATATAATATACAGAGCGAAGTACCGAATATTACAAATAATGATCCGAATAGTATCTTTGACAACATTAATGTAGAGAACGATGCGATCTCTTTCAATATTTCCAGAGACAGATGTGTTAAGGAAGTTTTGGAGCACAACCGCTCAACAGTGTCGGCTCCAACTTTCGTGAATAACAAGAAAAACATAATAGTGGAGTTCAGTTCACCCAATATCGCGAAACCCTTTCACGTAGGACATTTGAGATCTACAATAATAGGAAATTATGTTGCTAACATCAACAGCTTTGTGAACAATAAGGTGAAGAAAATAAATTATCTGGGTGACTGGGGTACGCAGTACGGCTTAGTTCAATTAGGTATCGATATGGCGAATATTGATGAGGATGAAATGCGAAGGAGTCCTATGAGAGTCTTGTACACGGCATACGTCAGTGCGAACAAACTGGCTGAGACCGACTCCTCGATACTGGATCGCGCGAGAGAAATATTTCACGATTTGGAAAATGGTGCGGGAGTCGCGCATGAACAGTGGAGAGCGTTCAGACAGCACACCGTCGAGGAATTGAAGCGAGTCTACAGCAGAATCGGTATTACGTTCGACGAGTATCACTGGGAATCCACGTACAATGCCAAAAATATCGGGGAAATCGTTACGTCGATGGAGAAAATGCAGTTGTTAACGAGGGACGAGCGGAATCGAAAGGTCGTGAGTCTGGGCAGTGAGAAAAGCGTTCCTGTAATCAAGAGCGACGGCTCCACCTTGTACATAGCTAGAGACATCGCCGCGGCTGTCGACAGATTTGAGAAGAACAACTTCGACTTTATGTACTACGTGGTGGATAATACGCAAGCCAGTCATTTCTCGAATTTGTTAGAAATACTGAAACGAATGCAAATGCCGTGGGCGGAAAGACTGAGGCATGTAAGATTTGGCCGATTGAGCGGGATGCGTACGAGAAAAGGGAATACTGTATTTTTAGAAGAGATCTTGGACGTTGCCAGAGATACCATAAAGCAGAAGCAAATTGACACGCATAGTATGTTAATTTCAATATTATTAATTAAAATTATTAATTAGATACATAATCAGATACATAATATTGAAATGATTATTTATTCATGATTTCAGTATTATGTATCTGATTATAATTATTAATATTTATTAATAATTTCAATTAGATACGTAATATTGAAATTATTAATATTTATTAATAGTTTCAATATTATGTATCTAATTTTATGTAGGACTAGTTATAATAAAAGAACTATTTTTTTAGCCACTAAAGCCCGTCTAGATTCGTCCGACAACAGCTCGGATATATTAGGCATTTCCGCGTTGATAGTCAACGACTTGAAGAGAAAACGAGAACGAGATTACACGTTCGATTGGAACGCAGCATTTGACGTAAGTGATCTGCGCGTTATCGTGGAAAAATCATCTAATTTTACGTGTGTATTAAATTTGCTTTTCATAATCTTCTTCGTAAGGTCAGTTGAGAGGGGACACCGGCGTGAAGCTGCAATATACGCATTGTCGACTCGTTAGTTTGGAGCGCAATTGCGGCGCTGTTCTAACTTCCGAGTGTGAGCCAAGTCTGCTGCGGGAAGAAGTCGTCGATGATTTGGTTGTGTTAATCGCCAAGTTTGAAGAAGCAGTACTGAGATCGTACAACGAGATGGAACCCTGTATATTAACGATATATCTCTTCAATCTAAGGTACAAGATACGAACAACAAGACTCGAGCATTTACCACAATTATTTAACTGAAATATGTACAAGTTCTCTTTCTTCTTTTTTCAGTAATTCGATTAATAAAGCTTTCAATTCATTGAGAGTGAAAAATGAAGCGCCTGATGTTGCTAGTCAAAGGTTGTTGCTCTTTCACGTTGCTAAAAACGTTCTCGCACAAGGAATGAAATTACTTGGTCTAATACCTCTGAAAGAGATGTGAAGGCTCTTGGCTGGTGGTCCTAAAAGAGATTCGAAACTGCCAAACTTGGTGAGAGAACTTTGGTCAGAAGAAAATTATGCATCTAATTTTTTTTTCGATATCGAACAGTTAGCTTTACTTTCTTGAACAAATTTTATTGTATGTACAACGAGACATGTTTCTATAGCGCCGTTTCGTACGATCTTATTGTATGCAGTGTGAAAATTACATGATAACAAGCAGAATTAACGTTTGTTCCAAGCGAACTTTCTTCTGGCACCTTCCTGACCGGGCTTCTTTCTCTCGCGTCTCCTCCAGTCCCTCGTTAGAAGTCCAGCTGTTTAAACAGTAATTTTTTTTTATTATCTGCCATACATTTAATTCGCGTTAATTTTCATATTGATATATTTTGTCAAATCGATTGTTGCTTACCAACTCGCATCTTTTCGATCATCGGTTTGTCAACAAAACTGCGTAAGCCCCATGCAATACCCCAACGTATAGCGCCCGACTGACCAGTAGGCCCCCCACCATTAATTGTGACTTCGATATCTACTTTATCAGTCATGTTTGTAAAAAATAATGGGAATATGATCTGCAACAGATAAAATATGCAAGAAGCATGTGAGGTAATTTTAAAGTGAATTTTAAAGTGGTACATAATATAAATGAGCAATTGCTAAAAATCGAGGAAAGGCCAACTTAGATATTAAATTCCGACGTTTTTTTTTTGAGAAGTTGATATTTTCTTGACAAAATAAAATTTAAAAAAATTACAATTATTCCTCTATCGACAGAAATCAGAAATTATAATTGCGCAATTGTTTTTTTACTCGTAGAAAATATATTTACAATAAATAATAATGCATATATTTACAATATAAAGTAATATACATATGAATCACATAATGCGAATTGCTGATTGAAATATCGGATCGTACCAATATTGAATCATCCGAATCAAAACGAGGTATGTTCTTCTTTTGCTAACGTTGTTGCGACATTTTTCAGCGTCTTGTTCATTTCTAGCAGTTGTACTCTCAGCAACTTTACAGCGTCTTCGTTTACTTTCATCATAGCGATCAGTTTCTCGAGCGTCGTTTGTAAGGCGGCATCGGAGAACTCATTCTTCTGTCGTTGTTTCAACCAAACGGCGTGATCGCTCAGATTGATGTCGTCATTCATAGACGAGGGAATGTTCTTCTGCGCCAACTCATAAGCGGCAGTCATTATATCCTTGGGCAATCGCTTCTCGAGGGGATTAAGCGGTTTCACCACGAGAATTCGTTTCCTATTCTCCACGTTGATCTTGTGATCCGACATCCACTTCCGGAAGGCGTACGGAATTGTGGTGTTGTGCAGCACCATTTCCGTGAACAGGATCATTTTCGTCTGCCTCACCAGCTTCGTGAGCCCCGCGTGATTCCTCAGACCTTGTATATCATGTACGGCGATACCGACCAGCAGGTTCATCAGTATCACGGTGACGAATACTATGAACAGCGTGAAAAGTATTTGCGAGCACACCGACAGAGGATGATAAATGATGAAGGAGCCGGCCGACGATTCGTCATCCACTTGACTGATGAGTCCCTCGAAGTCCAATTCACCGGCCATCATAGCGAGGACTTTGATCAAGCCGGTGAAAGGATTGCCGAACGCGGGCTCGCTGGCGAATATCACGCAGAAGCTGATGGTGAAACCGATCAGCAGGCCGGAATACGCAAGCAGAAGCTTGGCAAACTCGAACTGGATGTGCGTGAACATGGCGACGTAGGTGCCGAAGGCCGGTAACTGGCCCACCATCAGCATCAGGTTGGTCCAGGCGCAGAGAATGGCGAACGCGCCGACGTAGTTTTGCCAGTCGTAGGTGCGCCCGGTGTACACGAAGGACGTGACGAACACGCTCACGATCACCACGCCGTCCAGCACGTTGTCGATACTGGAGAAGTACTGCAACGCCGACTTGTAGACCATGAAGCCGAATATTTTTCTCGGTATGGTGATGCATGTCAGAACCAGCGCGAGGTACCACTCGATCTCGATGATCGGTCGCCGGAAGAGGAAGCCGGACGCCAGCTTGCTGCCGCATATCTTCGAGCTGTTGGCTTCGTTTTGATTGTAACACTTGTACGCTAATGCAGTCAGCACGTAAGTGGTCATGCATATCACCGTCAGAGCGTACAGGAATATCCTCAGCAAGTAGAGCTTTCGAATTTTCTCCCATTTGAGGTGCAGGAAGGCCATGACCAGCGGATGCGACAGCAGGTCCTTCCGGTGCTCTTGCACGAAGGTGTTTATGAAGCTGGTCTCGCACCGATTACCGCTGGGAAAGAGAATGTCGAAGTGCAGTCGCATCTCGAACTCGCGATTATGCGACACCGGTCGGGTCAGCTTGATGGACGCGTCCAGCCGCTGTCGGAACACGAGCAGGGACTCCGGGATCTTCTTCAGTATAATATTCAGAGCGGACAGCCCGGTGCACGTGGTCGCACTGATGTCGGCGCCCGCCCAGATGAGCGCGTCTACGCATCGCGACTGCTCGTTCAGCGCGGCGATGTGCAGGGGCGTGAAACCGGTCCGGTCGACCGCGTTCGCCAAGGCGCCGCGTTTCAGCAACACCTGCACCAGCTCGGCGGACGAGTCCGTGCTCATCACGGCGAAGTGCAGGGGCGTCCTGTGCTCCCTGTCGACGGCGTTGGGCGCGCTGGCCGCGAGCAGCTCGACGCACGGTATCGACTGCACGAAACAGGCCACGTGCAGCGGCGTCTGGCCCAGGTGATTCTTCTCGACGACGCTGGCACCGCGCTCGAGCAGCAGCTTCACCGTCTCCACCGCCTTCGCGCGCACCGCGCTGTGCAGAACGGGCTCGACCACTTCCTGGCAGGTGTAATTGAGCTTGGCGCCGTGATCCAGTAACGCGGCCGCGGCGCGCCAGCCGTTGCCGAGCGCCGCGAAGTGAAGCGGCGTGTAACGGCTGACGAGGCTCTCGTAATTCACGTCGGCACCCTTCGCGATCAGGTACTCCACGCAAGCGACCCTGTCGCCCAGCGAGGCCGCGAGGATGGCGTTCACCCCGGTCCGCGGCTCGACGTAGTCGTAATGCGCCCCGGCGTTCTCCAGTTCCGGCAGAAGGTGCAGCAGACCGCGATAGGACGCCCAGATGTAGGCGACGTTCCGCAGTCTCTCGCTTTTGAACGCGTTCGGCAGTAGCGCGCGACTCTTCTCCATGTGCAGCAGCACCCTCGTCTCCGTCGTGTCGACGATGGACCATACAGCCGATCTCAATTTGGCGCCGTTCACGTAGTGATTCTTGCAGCATTCCAGATTGTCGAAGAAGAGAGAGTCGTCGACCGGCGGCGGTTCACCGGCGTCGATCTCGAGCCGATCGTTCTCCAGCGTCTTCGACACGGTTGCATCGTCATCATCGATCGCGATTTTTTGCGGATAATCCTCCGCTGCATATGCGCATCTTAATGACCTGTAAGTGGAAGCCAATCTCACAGATAACGGATCGCTTTTGTGACGACTGTTGAAGCTTCTGGAATAAAAATGTTCACCCTCGTTCGAAATAGTCGGTATCTTCAGACTGTTCGTCTCGAAGGCCCTTACTTTGGCACTCTCTCCCAACGAATCTCGGTCATTCTCGCACATACTCGCTCGAATTAACTTAATTACGATTGAGAATAAGTTTACTATTCAGAATTTGTTTTATACTATTCACGCTCTTATTTCTCAGTTCGAATCAAAATTCAAGCGTATACCTTCATCTAGAGTTGTCTCGCTTAAATTATTTTCGATCCAAACGACGTTCGTCGTTGCTATTTTTTCTGTTATCTCAGATTTTCCATATTTTCGCGCGCAAAGACTCGTATTTACTGCGACGATCACTTATCTCGCTCGAACCATTGAACTATAATAGCCTTGTCGTTTTTTGTCGTTCCGTCCATCTTCCTCAGAGTTACTTCAGCTAATACTACTAATAGATATGTTATGTCGTACAATGTTTAAGTATTTCCAATGTAAACGCCGCTTCGTAATTAAGCACTAAGTATTCGTACCGTTATGCGATGATTCGCGCGAAGCGAAGCATCCTAATTACTACAGCCGCGTCACCGTGTCTCTTTTTAATCCTTTTTTTTTTCTCTCGTTTCTTTTGGCTATTACGCCTACACGTCGTTTCGTTTGAGCCACTTCAAGAGAGGATCATTACAGTTTGCGCCGCGGTCTCGAGAGCACGACCGAGTGCCTTATATCCGAGCAGCTCTAATTTAATCATGACTTGCATTCGCGCGACAACTTACGATTAATGATATCTTGTTAAACAAGAATACATTTGACAGAAGGAAACGCAGACGCGGAGAATAGAGATGAAGTAAAGGTTGCTCTTGCCTAAGGCTCTTATCGCCGCGGATATGACACTCCTGAAACTTGTCTTCCTTTTTATCAATGAAATATTCTATTGTACTGTACGCTTTTAAGTTTGTCGCACATAATTTAGCAATATTGTCTTCCGCTTTTTAATTTGCGTCGTTAGTGTTAACTGCTCTTCGTGTGTTAGTATTTCTTCTGTTCTCGCCGCGCTTCTCTAGTGGTGCGATATTAATATTCCTGTATCAATTTAACAGACGCATATATTATTAACTCGAATATCCAAGTGCGTCTGTCGCTGTGTGTAAGATGAAGATCTCAAGTTGGCATATGATGACTTTATATTTTTCACTGACACCGCACTTCTCTTCCTCTCGCTACCCGAGGCTTCCTGTGGTCGTCACTTCGTCTCCTCGTTTAACGCTCCCACTTTTTGAGACGTATTTATAAGTCTAGAGATTGGAGGTCTGAGGAAATCCCGAGTTCTCGACTCTAGAATGCAAAAGCAAGCCGAGAAGGATTTCGGCCGCATTTTCTAATCGTAAAAAAAAATGTATGCCACAGCCCGATGTCTATCACTCCGACCGGCGTACGATTGACAATTCAGCGAGCATTACAGCGCGGGCTTAACTGATTTGTACGATCGCGCTACACGTACTGCATGACGTATCCTGCACACGCCTCTGCCGCCTACGTGGGAAGAGGAATCTGCGGAGCAGAGGGGCAAGAGACGCGTATTATAAACAAAATACATAAATATAAAAAAAAATGTAGGTCAAATTCAAGATCTGCTTCTTCACGCGTATCCCCTTTACGCACACGTGAACTGCCCTTCTGTTAAAATTCCTGATTAATCTGGCTGAGTCTGGAAAGTATCATTGAAAGATCACTCGAGTTTTTTTTAGGACATTATTCTTTACATGTGTTATCGTTAAAAAATACTGTTTTTAAACGTAGATATTTGCGTTCTTAATCAGATGTAACGATAAACTTGTTTTCTTCTCGTTGAAAATCAATGGACGAAGGTTAAACAAAAAGACAAGAAAAGAGAAAAAATATTTTTATCAAACTAAAGTTCCAATTGCTAAAAAAAAAAATAGAATTTTTCCAAAGTAAAGGCCATAGAGAGACAGAGACAATTATTTAAATTGCGACAGTTAATGTCTAGACAAAAACATATAAAGTTACATTTTAACGCATGTTAATTTTATAATAAACATTATTTAAATTACAAATTAATTTTAAATTATAAACTTATTTTTTATTTATCGTCTCGAAAGAAGTGAATCAAAATAGAATTAAATAAATCAATGGAAATAAACCAATTCGTCATTCATTATTCCTGTTTAATTTCGTTCGCACGTTATCTCTTTATCTACTATTTTTAATTACAGAATATTTTATATCCTTTTTTTTTATAGTTCTTCCTAAATCTGAACTGCGTATATCTTCGGAAACTCCTTTCACCGTCACGTGATCGCAAATATGATATCACGATTCGTTTACGTAATTTTTAATTTTGTATTCATTTTAAGTACCTTTGCAAGATCTCTGCCAAGAGATTTTCTTGAGTTGCTAGCTGCCTATAAATCGTTGATGACACGAAGTACGCAAATGAAACATTGCGCATGAAATGAATATTTCGTGCTAGTACTCACTCTAATAAAAAAAAGGGGGGGGAAGTAGCTTTCGTACAGACGAATTCAAGACACGAAACAGTTTTGCCTGACGGCGATTTTATCTGGGCTGTGAGAAACCTTCGGTTCGACAATGCGATGAAATATACTTATAATGCATTTTTTAACTCAATTTTTTTATATATTTCTCAGCTAATCGAGTCGGAGATTTGAGAGGCGTCGAATTGTCTGACAGGCGAACGCGACAGATATCGCCAATTTGTGTGCTAGATAAGAAAGTGCAGAGGCCAAAGTACGGAGACTCTAAAATTTTACCCATTACATTTTAACCATTAAATTCTCTCTTCCAGGAAACAAATCTACAACTCGACGTCCTCATTTTATCTCATTACCGAGTTTCTGACAGTTGAACTTTCAACGGATGAGAGAACTTATGTAGATTTAGAACCGGTTTTGACTGTCAGTCTACGCGTACCGTTAAAATTATATATGTTTTCTTTGACTTCGTTGAAAATTTCAAAGTGAAACTTGATCAACGTGAGACAATTACTTTAAAACTTCCCTTTTTAAATTTGATATAAAAATATTTATTCGCGTTTAACAATACATCTTGGTAAGAAACTTCGTAACAATAATGTGTATATACATACAAATATAGTTACATTTACTCACTCTAATAGTTAAATTCAATTAACGTAGTAATTTAAAAAAGAAAATGCTTACAAAATCCTTTTTCTTAAGAAAAACTTATGTAATAAATGAACTAAGAATACAAAAAATTAATATTAAAATATACTAATGGAAAGCAGCCAGACATCACAAATCGAATTGCCAGTCTAGATAATTATATATAAACTGGTTATTTATATTTAAATTCTATATATATATATATATGACTCTTCAAGAATGAGGAACTTTGTCTGACAAGCCGAAATATTTTAGAAAAATTTATACAAGTGTGACAGAATGTTTAGAAAAAAAAAAAAAGCGAACTGTCCTATTTTCTCTAAGGTCTCATCAATATACAATATGTTTGCATCCACGTCACGATATCCCTGTTACTTTAGATACTAAGTACATACTAAACGTTTATACTTGAAAAAAATACATACATATATTTTAGATTAAGGTAAATAAAATCTTTCGCCGAAGGGAATGTTCTTTGCAATTACCGTGTTAAAGTAAAATATTTTATTTAAACGCAGCATTTATATGCATAAAATTATGCAAGCCCCCTAGTACTTTTTGTATAAAACTCATGTACGAAAATAAACGGAATATTAATTATAGATGATATTGGACACAGCCACACTTGTATCACAGAAATAAAGCGAAATATTTCGTGAGCAAGATTTAGCCAGCATTTCGTTGAAAGATATAAAACAGGGTATAGAAGCAAGGATTAATTCGCGTTTATTATTCATGATGTATCAAAGCCACGTTTCGCGAATCGCAAGTTTTAGAATCTTGTATCCATGTTGCTCCATGATCGAATTTCAAATTTTGCACGGTTGTGAATTTCATTGCAACTCCAAGGGTATTTCCAACGTCCTTATATAATTGGCAATTTTACTTATTTATTTTACCACTGTGCGCTTTTATGAGCTCTCGAAGGAGCGTATGATTTTTCTCGCAAATCTCCTTGAGCTCCGCGATATCGTCTTTAAACTTGTTGCAATCGTGCTGCAGCGTGTCGTCGTCGAGGCCACGACGGCGACTCGCGGTGGTCACGTCGCCTCTGAGACCCGCTTTCGCGTGGTAGGCCGCGGTGTAAGTTTTTCTGCGCGACACGGCAAAATTGTTCTGTCCGTCTCCCTCCTTGGCTATTTTGTAGGCGGCCGCGAGGACGTCGCGCGGCAATCTCTTCTCACGGGGGTTCAGCGGACGAACGTTGAGAACGGCTCGCAAGGGTGACGGCAGAAACAGCGCGGTCCAGCGCATGCACTTGATGAAGCGCTTCGACGGCATGAATCCCAGGAAAATCGCGGCCTCCACGTCGTGGATCAGCTTCGTTTGGCGAACGAGTTTCGCGAGACCGGCCGTCTTCTGCAGGCCCTTGATATCGTGCACGGCTATGCCGATCAGCAGATTCATCAGGACAATCGTGACGAACAGGAGGAACAGCACGAAGAAGAGCTGGGCCGAGATATGCAGCAGGATCCAGGATCTTTCGTTAGTCTCGTAGATGCTACCCTTCTCGGACGAGATGAAGGAATCGAAGCCCAACTCGCCGGTCATCATCGCGAGGACCTTGATGAGACCCGTGTGCGGACTGCTGAACGAATTCGAGTGTGGGAAGATCACGCAGAAGCTCGCCGTGAAGCCCACCAGCAGGCAGGCGTAGGCCAGCAACAGCTTGAACACTTGCGCCTGCACGCTGGTGAACATGGCGACGTAAGCGCCGAACACCGGCAACTGGCCGATCATCAGCATCAGATTGCTCCAACCGCAGAGCACGGCGAAGGCGCCCAGGTGACTCTGCCAGACGTACGTTTTTCCCGTGTACACGAAAGAGGTGGCGAAGACGCTCAGTATCACGCACCACTCGACCAGGTTTTCCATCTGCGTGAAGAACTGTCTGACCGACCGGTAACTGGGAATGACGGTGAACTTGCGAAAGGCCTCGAGCATGGTGAGCACCAGCAGCGTGTACCACTGAGCCTCGAGAAGCGCGGGGTGTCTGTAGAGAAACCCGTAGATCCCGTTCGCGTTCGCGCACAACGGCGGATCGTGCACGTCGCCCTTGGACTCGTTGTAACAGTTGTGTGCAAGGGCGGTTATCACCCAGCTCGTGAGGATCAGCACGTATATCAGGTAGAAGAGCAATCTGGCGGCGTAGTACTTCCGGATCTTGTGCCACTTGAGATGGAGGAAGGACTGGCACAGGGGATGCTCCAGGATCTCCTTGTAGCCCTCCTTCACGAAGGTGTTCAGATAACCGATCTCGGGCGAGCGAATCTGCCGGTTCCGTCGGTGCTGCATCAACGGACGGAAGTCCAGCTGCAGCTCGAGCTCGCCCGCGATGAACCCGTGCCGGTTCAGGGTCAGAGACTTGTCCAGCCTGCGTTCGAACACGTCCAGGGACGTCGGGGTCTTGCGCAGAACGACGGACAGGGCGCTGTTGCCGCCGATGGTCCTGGCACTTAGATCCGCCTCGTATTTTATCAGCAGGTTGACGCACTGCGACAGCTCGTTCGAGGCGGCGATGTGCAGCGGCGTGTAACCGTATTTGTCGGCCTTGTTCACGTCCGCCCGCCATTTCAGCAGGAGCTCGGTGATGTCGTCGGTCATCAGAGACTTGCCCAGGGCCAGATGCAGCGGCGTCCGACCCTCGTCGTCCGTCACGTTGGGATCCGCGCGACCCTTCAGGAGGATCTCCACGCACTCGAGAGAGTGCGAGCGAGCGGCCAAATGCAGGGCCGTGTGGCCCCGATGGTTCTTCAGCTGGAGATTAGCCTTCGCCTCGATCAAAAGAGCCAGGTTGTCCGCGCAGCCGGCTTCCGCGGCCAGGTGCAACGCGGTGTCCTTCTTTCCGTTGGGCAAATCCACCGGGCAGCCGGCTTTCAGAAGTACGTCCAGACAAGCTCTGTCCCCGCTGTCGGCCGCGTGATGAACGGCGGCGTATCCGTCCTGATCCAAACGCGCCAGCTCCCTGTTGTTCGGCGCCAGTAGAGAAAGCACGCGCAGCGCGTTGGTTCGCGAGGCCACGTGCAACACCGTCTCCTCCGCGTCGTACGGGGACAGCTGACTGACACCCCGTTGCACGAGGTACTGAGCGACATCGAAGGCGTCGCCGAAGGCGGCGTAATGGAACAATGTGTGCTTCGACTTGGTGTCGACGCTCGCGCCCTGCTCCATCAGGTACTTGACTCCGTCCAGACAATTCCGAAACGCGCACAGGTGCAACGGGGTGAGCCCGTGATCGGGCTCGGTGTAGTTGACATCGGCACCGGATTTGCACAAACAATGAATGAGACTCGTGTGACCGTTGAAACACGCATGCAGCAGCAAGACGTTGACTTCGTTGGACTTGACGTCCGCGAAGGCCATCTCGTCCGTTCTGCACGATTCCAGATTCTCCCAGACTTGCGATTTGTAGCCCATACGCCTCTTGTGTTCCAGGAGAATATTTCTGATGAAATCTTCGTTGATGCGCAGGGAAGTGCGATCGACCTCGGAAGAGGCACGTTCGCTGATGATGGAGTAATCCTCCGTGGAACATATGGGACTTAACGAGTTGTCGGGCAGTGACGGCGATTCGCATTGAGCGACTCGATCATTCTCAAGCTCGCTGTCCTCTTGCTTAGGCGATGAACGTCTGCTCTTTAGTCGAGCTAAGAACAAGGAGGCCGCGCTCGTGCGTGTCAACATAGGAATAGTTTTTAGCACTTTTTCTTCGGTTCCTTCCATCTCTTTTACTGATGTGAACGATACGAATTTGTTGCTGAGATTATCAACCATCTCCACCTGTTGCCGTATTTAAGCTCAATTACCTATAAACGTGATGTATTTATTTAACACGCTATCCAAAAGTTTTAATATTTAATCGAAACATATAAAAATAAAATAGAGAAATTTTATTTTATTCAAAGAGAGATTATAATAAATATTTTTAATAGTTTTACAAATTTGTCATAATAAAAAAGAAAAATACAAGGCGCCAGAACTATACAGAAATTCAGAGTGTCAAATATACTTTCTGTCAAAATAAGTAAAAGTGAATATAATATTTAACACCTACGATCTCTCAAAGCTATAAATCGAAAACGAAACAAAGATTAAATTAATCAGATTAGATTAAATTAATGTTGTGATGTTTTCTCAAAGTCGTATATTTTAATATAAAAGATTGAACAATACTTGTAAATATATTCGTAATAAACACATATTTATAACTCATTAATTTTTTAAAAGTTTAATAACGCAATGAGAGACAAAATGTGAATAGTGAAATATATTTCGTTTTCCTTTTTTTCAATATAAAGATTTCCTGTTTCAATATAAAGAATTACGACTCAAAGTTTACGACTTAAGTGGCAGTACACTTTATCAGTACAAACGCTTTAACATTGTAACATCGAAATCCAACACAAAACACATCGCGTGACTCTCGCAAAAGTTAATCGGTTAAATAATCACAGAGAGTAAGACTGTTATCTTATTGAATTAGCGGTAATTATGTCCTACTTCTGAGAGACAAAGAGATTGATTTCATATACATGACACATTTGATAGGATAATATTAACAAACGGGCTCATTACAAAAATAGAAAAAAAACAGGAAGTTTATGGATTTAGCGAGACACTTCTTTGCAACAACATCGTTTATGCAGTTAAAAATAAAAATAGATTTTGACGACATGTGACTGAATACTACGAAATTTAAATGCTTCCGCTATTATTTACATCAGGAAGCAGAAACCAAACATATAAAAATATAGAAATATAGAAATACATAAATCTAAAGATTAATTTAAATAAGTCATAAATAAAAATTAAATGTAAAAATAAATAGAAGTTAAATGGAAAAACATAAATAGAAATTACATGTGAAAATAAATAAAAATATCAATTATACGAAGGTAAACATAACGTCACCATGCCCTTTGTGTCAGACTTAGATCAATCAAATCAAAAGCGCTATCTGTTGATAGTTGGTAGTCAATAAACTATTGAGGTAACTGCGACGAATTGCTTTCGCGACGAATCTCGAATTTAAATTAACGGCTCTTATTACGAATTTAGTTAAGCGGCTCTATTACGAAAGTGTTAGACTACGGCACGCGATCGGCATCACAGTGGAGATGGTTCTAGAATGATAAAAAGTATCTTACGCGTTTACGGTACGAGACAATGCTCGGTGGCGAACGTCGATCACATCACCTCGTTCTTTCGCCAGACCGGTTCACACTGAGAGCGAGAGAGTGTGCAGCACGCGGCTAACTCCATCATACCGGTTATACCAGCGAAAGAGTTTTAGATGCTACATGTGTCCATTGGGACCGGTCGACTATCAGAAATGCTCACGGAAAGGTCGTCTTTCTTGAAGGTCACCGCACATGTTTTTCGTGCTTCACATTCTTCGCGAATACGCATCACAAAAAGATACCGCATAAAAATATATTTCTTCTTCCTCACTGCCGTATCGATCATCCAGAAATTTTTTCTGATTCCAGATAAATAAGGTTTTTCAATGTAAATTAACTTTCACCTGTTGTGTTAATGTATCGTATAAATTCCTATAATTCTTAGATTTCTTGAATGAAGCACATTATTGCACCTAATCGTTCAGATAGATATCTTGCATTTCCAGCGAAGAAAACATAGTTGAAATTCCATTAGTCATAATCAATACGATTTAAGGATTGAAAAAGATATTGGCATGGCAATTCGCCTGAGTAAAAGCCAGGAAAAAATTGCCATTAAAAAAATTAAATTAGAATTTTTTAATTAAAAGCTAAAAAAGAACGCAAAGTTTAATCCCTGCTTCATGGTGTTATTACAACAGAGAAAATTCTGTCTTCATGAGACAATTTTTAATCAAAATTTCACGTGAGTATAGTTCAATAAACTCTTGACGTAACATGCAAATAAATAATTTCTCTGACTTAAATGCAAAAATTAGTCAGCAAGATATATAACTTGCAATAATTTGCATACAATTTGACTAGAAGCCCAACATTTATTATAGAGATTAATTTGATGACAATCTAATTCTATGGTTTAATGCGCAACATTAATATTTATATAAATAATTTTACTTAGCTTTTCTAATTATTTAGAAATTGTTTAGAAAAATTGTCAAGGCAAATATAAATACATTAATACACAATCAAATTTAATTGAGATATATTATATTTCCGTTCTATTAGTTAGGATTATCTTAATAAAAATATAAAAATTTAATAAAAATTGGAATCATAGTCATATGGATAGCGAACCAGTGTGATGGTTAAATTATTAAATAAAACTTTTTTTCTTTCACGTAATATATCGCTAAATAAAAATAGAATATTTTATATATATTCACCCTGATTTTTTTATAAATATTATTCGTATTAAATTCCTAGTGTATTGTTACGTCACACTTGTTTAATTTCTTGTTCTATTGCATATCAAACCAGAATGCAATGCATACTACTGTTTTAACACAAGTAACAGAAGCCATCTCAAATTATATTACGTACTGCAGTTTCGAAAGGTTTACATTCAGAAAACTTGGAACATTTAATGAATTCAGTACCAATATTTCTTACAAACAGCAAGGAAAAACTCACCTGTTCCCGATGATTAAACTCTTCAAAGTATGTGATGTCCCGTCCATTAATGACAATCTTTCCAGAACCATTACCCCAAATTGTCACTTCACCTCTTGCATTCTTCCTCATGCAATCTGAAATCAATAACGAGTTCTGTGATATATACACTTCTCCTAATCATTTGTCAATACTAATATCATCTATTTGCTTACTTTTGACCGTGATATATGGCCTTCCTGTGACGTCGTGTTCCAACTTCACATGTAAAAATTTTTATTGCAACATTAATTGTAACAACACTTTCATTATTATTATATATGCGCACAAATACTTACAGGTGGTATTACTATGTCAATGGAATGGAAAGCAAGTGTTTTACGATATTTTGTAATGAGATCTGTTGCACGCCTTGACAATGGATGATCACACAATCGTTCTAATGACGTAATAAGATAGTTGTACTGAAAGAATTATTACATACTTATAGTGTACAGTTAAATCATGGCCAATTTTTTTTTGAAAATTTCTATGATCAGTTATTATTTACCTCAAAATCAGTAACATTCTCGAGTAGTAATTTCTCAATCTCATGCTTTAATAACCACACGGAGCCTATTAGATTGCTAAAAATATGATATATTTTTAATAAAATGATTATACTTTGCATTTTATTTGAATAAATTTCTAAAATTATATATCAAGATGTGTGTGTGTGTGTGTGTGTGTGTGTGTGTGTATTTTTATGTATTAAATACTCAACATACACTTTGTCCATAGGTAATGTCCCTTGCTTTATCAACGAGTCTTCAATATCATTCAGAGATTTCATTTTATCCACAATATTCTGTATGTAAGAATAAATTTCAAATTTAGTTACTTTCCTTTATATAGCTGTAACAGTACTTATAGAAACTTACATATAGTGTCTCATAATAATTCGGCTTCGAGGTATAAAACATAGAGTGGAAGGGCCTTCCAGTCTTGTCAAATTCTGCTGCTTTCCTGTTTGGAAAAATCTTTTCCGGATGTTGCATCATTGGCCGAGCTTTAGGATCAAATAGTCCCGATGGAAATAGATATTGGATTGATCTCTGAAAGTAGAATTATGTCATAGGCTTTAGACATTTATCAAATCAGCACAATTTGTTTTGTTTATATAATTACATACATCTATATCCGCTTGTGTAAAACATTCTGGATCTTCGCCCATCATGTTGGCCAGGTGTCTTTTCCCTATCTCATATTCTGCAATTTCTTTCTTCATGAATTCATCTGAGAAATTAAAAAAATAAACATATTTATAGTAAAATATCGTTTATAAACTGTTAACATTAAACTTATACAAAGATATAAATTGTTTAAGATAAAAATGTATATATACAAGAAAAAATAAGTCAGAATTACCATGTTCTTTTGCACGATTCAAATACACCATCATAGCTTTGCTAATTTTTTTCTCCGGTTTTTTCGCACCAGACTTCATTATCTTTTCAATTTCATTGCTAGACGTTGTATAAGATCGCAATTTAATATAATTCTGCAACCGTAAAGTAGTTAGTACAGCAATTAAATAGTTTATACGTGATCGAAAAAAATGACAATTTGCACTATAAGCAAATGGTTTCCCGTTGCACAAGGAATTGCAAACTTACCGAATGACACGCGGCATCCGGGAATAAGGCGACAGCATTGTTGCTTATGCCGATGAAACGTCGAAGGTGCGAACAACGGATAAGAGCAGATACCGCCATAATTACAGCTTGATAATCAGAACGAATTGTTTCTCAGGCGATTTAGAGGCGGTAACCTCGTTCGAGAGCTAACCTATCGTAACCTATTGTAGCGAGAATACATCAGATTCAGTCAGATTAAATTGGATTGGGGTTAACGTTGATTCTCGCGATGTGAAAATGTCATGAAAAAAATGGAAATCTTGTAATCTTTCAACGTATACAACGTATATTTCTGTATGCAAGATCGGTGTCAAGTATTATTGCACGCACACGACAGAATCAACAGAACAAGCGCATGCACTGCGTGCACTCACGCCACTCACGTTTCTGATACTGTCGATAAAATTGTCAGCCAGCCGCAGAGCAGAAGAGGATGAATGTGGTTCGAGTCAGGGCTATACATCAAGAGTTCAGCGCAGGTTCAGCTTCAGGCATTTTATGCGATTTTATCGACATTGTCGATAAAATGTGGTGCGTGTCCGTGCTAAAACCACTATAAAGTAATACATATAATTATGGATAGAGAATATGTATCTATAATTATAGATATTTACGTAATTTTTTTTTGCTAAAGCCTAAAGTTAATATAGCCCAAAAAAATTAAACATTTTTTTGCGTCTGGCAAAATTGTAGATTTTTTTGATAGAAGTAAAATTCTTACGCTAGTGACAGTGAAAAAGAATGTCAATTAAATGAAGCTTTAAAAATCGCAATATCCGAAATTCTATATCATCTACCATATATGTTACATATATATTTTTCAGAAACTTTGCCAATTTTTAAATTTGAACTTTTTCAAATCTAAAAGTCGAAGGATTCTTGGAATCGAAATTTTGAAAATTTGTTCTTTTTTTTTCAATTACACTATGAGGAAAGAAACGAATGTTCGAGTATTGTGCATTTTTTTCTGAAAATTTTGTGTAGGAAAGAAGGTAAATGACGCCAAGTTAATGATCGATAAGAGTACAATAAAAATACATCTTACTGAAATATTGACATTTTTTATTCGTGCTATTTTTCTCAATCGTCTGCAAATCAATCCGACTGTTTTTCAAGCTAGTCGGTGTATTGGTCGATATTAGCATGAGAGAGAGAAAGTTTTTTCTTACCATTGCATAGTTTTTTTTTTGGAAGTATATAAAGTAATAAACACCAACAATCAGGCACCATCAACAAGTTACCAATAATCAGTACTCGTTAACGCGAACAAGATTAAGTTATTTATCACATAAGTAAAAAATAGATATGGATGAAATAGTAAAAAGCTATTATATACTGTTGGCAATAGCTTCTATGTAACGTATAGAAGCTATTCGTACAATTACATCCATACAAGTATTTTACGCACGAATTTTATATACATTAGAAGTCACAATAACAGCAGTATTTTCAGCCTCTGTTTAATAATACCACATCTGTTAATGTGCCCCCTGCCTTCTCACTGTCACCATATCAAAATCATATAAATTTTCTTCCAAGTGAAAAATTTCTCTTATTATGAACATGCATTAACACAAGCATGTATGTCTGCGTATGTCTTACATTTCCAACAGAAATAAAGGATTATTGATCAATATACACCTTATTACTATCAAAACCGATAAAAGACAACATATCGCATCAATATATCGAATGCATGTGATAACATGTGCAAAATTTAACTTATTTGTAATACGTATAGCGCAAAAAAATTCGTACGATTTCAATATGGCTACAATGAGCAAACAGGAGTCTTAAATTATTAATTTTTATCAAGTATCAGGAATGCATGATAGTATAACATACATTAACTCTTAAAATGTTGCGCGCGTTCGTTAACGAACAAAAATATACGTCTTCAAAGATATGTCTAATCTAGAAAGTCTAAAATATCGTTATTATTAAGTTTGATAGCTATGGGAGAAATCATTCAACATTCCTGATAAAATCTAACATCCCTGCAGGCCGCCACAATATTAACTTAACTTTCCTCTTGTATCACAAAAAGAAAACAAAGTACTTATGAGCAAGTTACGTGAGTAATATATACATATATATTACACACATTAAAAAAAAAAGTAAGAGTCTCAGACGATGCAACATGCTTGGAAAACGCATGTCGAATTGGTAAAATACATTATACGCTACGCTTTGTCTTTGGAAATTTCTTAATGAATAATGCCCGTTTCCACCGATAAAGATTAACTTTAATCTCGGCTTAACTCACTCTTCGTCTTTTTCTAATCGTTGGAAAAAGAGCAAGTTGAACCGAGATTAAAGTTAATCTACATTGGTTGAAACAGGTATAGATTACATTTAATTTTTGTGATAGCAAAAAGTTAACTATTATGTAATATTAATCAATTGTATCATAAATTACTCAATCTCTTTCAGGTATCGTGATAATCCTATCGCAAAAATAAATATTTAGAATTAATGTTACATCTTTTTCAACATACAAACAGATTTGTCAAAACAGTCAACATTCTGAGAAGATAAATATACAATGTAGGATCACTTACATTTCTTCGAAACTTAAATACTATTTCTAGACATAAAGAACCATTCCAAAGAAATGTTATTCTCTCGTCCCCTTTTTCCCTTTGTGTACGCATTTCATGTATATGTGTATGTATTTTTGTGTGCTGGACTTGACTGGGGGTTGGAAAAATCGACAAAGTGTTCCCCTACATGGCATATTTATCTTGAAAACGTTGTAGCAGTCGAATGTAGCAATTAAAAAAGATAAAATATGCACCACGTTTGACGTTAGTATTCCTTTTTTGTGCTGCTCAAACTGCCATTAATGTTGCGCTGCGTTTTCCGGAAGGAAATCCGCGACCGTACGCAACACCAGATGTTCTTCCCCGTGCCTACCAGATTGCAAACTATCAAGGACGGCGATTCGTACTCATTAGGAACAATACCGTCAACGGACGCCTCGAAGAAGCTAAACAACGGAAACCAGATTCTGGTCCTGATCGAGTCGCGCTGCATCAGCGCTTGATTATTCGCCAGCGTGTGGTAGTATAGAAATAATCGCGAAGTTATATAAAATGCGACGAAAACGTCGATGGAGTAATGCTCGTGCGCCGCCAGGATGAAAAAGATACCGAACATGTTGAGCATCCATGTAAACGTATGCAGAAAGTACAAGTGTCTGGGGGTATCTGCAATGAAAAAAAAACAGTATCTCATTAAATATTTAGATCGGCTTCGACTGAAATAATGTCTCAGTAAACAGGAAACGATTAAAATGAATTAACATTTTTTAATTCATGGATTTAAATGAATTGGCCTTCATGGAAATAAATACATTTATATTTCATAATACAAATATAATATATTTTTAATATGACATTAATATAATATCTTTTGGATAAGGTAGATTAAAACAATGCATTTCCTAGTCACAATTTTTAATTGAATAACGTGGTTCATTTTCACGAAAAACTATATTTCATTATAGGTAAACCATATTTTTTAAATTTAATTAAATTGAAAAAAATTCCATTTCTTATCTAGAATTTTAAATTAACCAGTATGCACGATTTACTTTTTAAAGCTAAACTTTTTTTTGGATTGAATGGCATAGAAAATGTGCTTCGTGCAATTCCTATAAATGAAATACAGGGGCATTGAAATGGATTCAGATTTTCAAAAGTACGCATTCGCGAACGTTGAAATGTATTTTTTTTTTCAATCCATTCCAATCCATTCTCGTTTATTGGGGTGTATTATAAAATATAAAAAATTACTTACATTCTGTGATGAAGAAGTTAAGCATCGTTAACGCCACTGTATGCCCGCTAAACATGTAATCCCCGCAAGTTCTTACACCTTGAATAGACATGCCGGCACCACGCCAGATGACATAAGCCATCGCTATTTTATTGTACAGTTCGACGTACGCGGGGCTAAAACGAGAATATAAATGTATATTACTTGTAAAACACTTCTGAGGAAGAAAATGAGAATTTTACAACACAATATGTGTATCTCTCACTTTGACCAATCTTCGTCCGGGATTTTCCGTGGTTGGCATTGGAGGTGCGCGCCTGGCACCGACAACGAGGTGATGAGCATCGTCACGCATCTCAGCAGGAAGACTGTACCCGACAGTGCGAAAAACCTCCGTAACAAAATAAATCTGTCCCATATGTAACAGATTATTCGCACTGACGTAATCGTAATCTTTTGCCTCATTTTTTTCTTAAATATTTTAAGCGAGGACGCTCGTTCCTTACCTATACTTGTGAAATATAAGCACAACAAGCCATATCGCAAAAAGCAGTGTACCGGTAACTTCGCACATGTCAAACGCCCATGGGATATGAGGTACGTTGTCTAAAAATATGTCTGGCAATGGGGGATACTTCTTCATATCAGGCACTCTGTCGTGAACGATAACCATCACAAAGGCAGTAATCCACGTGACGATAAATAAATATCCCAAACTGATGACCGTCTTCCAGATCTCGGTTGGCAAATGTGAGGCGTGTCCATCCTCCGACACCGAGGCTGAATAGAATTCGTTCTCGATGGACGTCTCGTTATTTGTACCGGTACTGGGCATCTGCGGCAGGAATTAAATGTATCAAATATTACTCTCCTCAGGCCGATTTTCAACGTCGGACAACATTCAATTTCCGGGGGAGAAAAACCAACGCGCCTCTCACCTCATGCTTATTCTGATGCGTATAAAAATTTGTCGAGGGAAACAAATCCACGTATCCCAGGTCGAACAGAACGGCGACATTGTCCCTCTGCAGTTGCTTTACGGCCAGATACAATTTCTTTATCGCGCCGATCTTCCTTATGTTGAGAATGCTGGACTTCAGGTCCTCCTCCTTCAGCGTCAGCAGCACCTTCCCGTCGATCTCGTGGTGGTAGAACAGGTCCGCGTACTCCTCGTGGCCGTTCTCCACGAGCCACTCCTTCACGTCGGTCGTCGTCCACTCGATGACGTTACTTAGGGACATGGTCGCGTCGTCGATTCGCGTCTATCCTGCATATAAACAGACTGCACATAAAGCCGACCGTCGTTTCGTTACCGTTAGAAAACGGGAAGGAGTTCTTTATCCCCGCAAGTGGGTGACCTTGTGACACGGCGATCGCTTTTCTGGCCGCGAATCGCTCGCGGCGCGATTTCTCGACGGGACGCGGATAATACAATTGTGATACCCGAATCCGACCGGGCGGACGGTCGAGAAAGCGTGAACGCCGTGTCAGCAGGGATGCCGGTGTTTGCGTGCCCGAGCGTGGGAGAGCCGCCGCGGGCAAGGGGTGCGGACTTAACCTTCGCGGGATCGCCCACCTGAGGAAGGGCCGCGGCGGCGCGCCTTGCGATCGCCGTCGTCGTCGTGGTCGTCGTCGTCGTCGTCGTAGTGATGGCTATCTTATCGCGACATTTTCGCACGTCCGACGTGCGTGTCACCGCGCCGAAAATGCTCCCGTCCGAGAGAATCATGCGTCGGCAGTATCCGTGCACGTCAACGCGCGCTTCGACAGGGACTCGTTCGCGGCCGAATCGGATCTGTACACAAAAGCCTGTACTCTCCGTCACTCTCCGTCTTCGACTCGTGCGACGTGCGTGCCTGCGTGCGTGCGTGTGTGCGCGCGCGGCGCAACAGCGGCGGCCCGACAGTCGACACGTCGCGCGCGTTGTTAAATAGCCGCGCGGAAAGAAAGAAATAATCGGAGCGCGATATATTTCACGGAGCGCTCGATAAAGGGGGTCGTGCCGCGTGCGTGCCGCTGGGCTGGCTCCTGCCTGTTGTTTACACCGCCGCCACCACGCGAGATCGATGATAACGATGCCTCCTCTCGCGAATGACGCGGATCTTAACAATACGCGGGGAACAATAAAGCGTACATACGTACGATGATTCATTTTTCACGATAAAAAAAAGACGTATATTATTGCCTTTCCCCCTCCCCCCCTACCGGTCCCTTTCTGCCGCTTATTGTTCCCCGAGAGCGCGAACAGCGTTTTGTTTATGACTTTTGCTTCCGACAATTTATCTATATATAAGTTGTTTACGGCTATTTCGGAGCGCTCAAGCGAGCTAGGAAATGGGATTCGAGGAGAGAAAGATAATTGTTGAAAGAATTGCGACGCACGCGATTGAAAAAAAGAGAAATATTGATGAGTTTCTGTAATTTATTTATTTTTTTTCTCCGACTAGTTGAAATGCATTTGATCGTTTTTTTTTTCGCCAGAGCCCGTGGAAATTATTCGATCCTGGAAAATCGAATTTTCACCGTTGGAACTTATGGAATTGCAGATCGAGATAATGTATATATACATGTATATAAAGATCTCACGATAAACCGCGCGTGAGATAATGGGCTTAAACTGGCTCGGACTATACCATCGATCAAACTCCAATTAACTTTTGATCGGTGACCGTGATCCAGCCGTGGCAGAATTGCTCAAAGCAAATTTTCGAATTATATAATTCATCCCGAGCCCTATAAATATACGATATATTATCTTTTCTTTTACGTCAAATGCAAAATCAGAGAAATTAAGATAATTCATCGCATTAATGAAATACTGCGAAATACCGCACCAATGATAAATTAATTGTCAATATAATAAAGTCGATTAGCGAGTCGATCGGACTAATTTATAAGTGACTCTCAGAATTATATGTTAATTTCTATCCATGTAAATCAACTTAATTAAATCTCGATTTTACTTTTTTTATCCTCCTCCGATGAACTAGAAAGATAAAAAGGATAAATGAGCTAAACCAAGATTAAAGTTAATCTATATTGACAGAAATAGGAGCTATTAATTATACAGAGAGAGAGAGAAGAAAAAGTAAGTTAAACCGAGATTAAAGTTAATCTGTTAGAAAGGGACACGTGAGAAGAGCGAACTAAACTCCTATTAACTCGTTAATCGACAATTAACTTTTCAAGAGATATTCAGAGAAATTCAGCGGTATCTCGCGTTATTATTAACGCGGATGGGAACTTTAATTTGTGCTTAATACTTGCGGACGGGCAAGTCTTCATTCGGAACAACCGGATGAGAATTTATTGCTCGATTGGGACACACTTTTGTCCCCTTTTTTCCCCCCTTCCTGCTCTACTTCCCTTTTCTCGCTCCAGAGAATGGAATTTCACAGCGTGCGATAGCGGCATTTTCCATCTTCAAGTCTTATTTTTTTTTTTTTTATTACCTTTATGTAATCTTTACACCTGCGGCCGCCTCGTTCGTGACGTTAAAAGCCCATATAAAAAAAGAAACCTATTACATATGTATAGCTGACGGCATTGAAATTAATACATAATACGAAGTCTCGCATTCTCAAGCATTCTCGGCTCCTTATATTTTCTGCTCGTCCCACCTTAATTGCTCTTTTTGTTTCGCTTCCTCGCCCGCGCCGCGCCGCAAAATCCAATAACAGATACGTTATCTGTCTTATTTTGAACAGGAATTCGAAATGTCAGAGTGACGTCAGAGTACAAATAGTACACGTGGACTCGCAAACTCATTCGGTACACGCGTTGGTAAAAAGTTTCATTCGAGTTCCTCGCCGTTGCAGCCTCATCGCGAACATTCTCGCGCGAGAGAAAGAACGCAAGAAAGTACGGTAGATCCGTTAATTCCGTTCTCCGCGGAGCCGCGCGAGATGCGAAGGTGGCAAATAAAATGCAATTAAGATGCGGGTAGATCGCGCGGCCGAGTCTCATTTATTTCTTATCGGCCGTCCGTAGAGGTCACCGTCGTTAGGTCGCGAGTCTTTTTTTCCTCTCCCATCGCGAGGACGCGCGCGCGGCGCGTAACCCGATTTTTTTTCATTCGCATCGTCGGGCTTCTCCCGCGGCCGCCGCGGCCGGGGTCGACGTCATCGACGGCCCGTCGTCGTCCGTCGTCGTCGTCGCGTCGATCGCCGTCGGCAACGTCGCCGCCGGTTCCACCAGCCATCGCCCGCTGTCGCCCGCTACCGGCTGCACAGTTGTCGTCGTGTCGCCGCCGAGTTCCACACACGCGCCCGCCAGTCGTGTCGTGGCCAGTGACTCGTCGCGCGCGTACAACGTCAGAGTCGATAGTGCGCGGACACCGCTGCTGCTGCTGCTACTGCTGTGGCTGTGCAGGCTGTGCTGTGAGCACTTGTGTGAGCTCGAGTCGAGAGCGAGGCTCAAGAGTCAGGCGCGCGCGGTGCTGAGTTGGCAGTCTTGACAGGGCAGTCCAGCTAACTGTTGATTTGCATGTCGTACGGCACCATCACCACGTCCGTCGTGTGTCCGCAGCCCGCCGCGCGAGCAGCCCGGATGATGTTACGAACGAATGTACTTAAACGGTCTACTTAAGAAAAAAAAAAAAAAACAAACGCCGAAAGCGTACTTAAATGAGCGATGAGCGGGCAGAAGTTCCAGTATGACGAGAGCGGAGGGACATTCTTTTACTTTCTGCTCTCGTTCTTGGCGTTGCTGCTGGTACCCGGGACTTACTACCTCTGGCCACGTTGCCCGAAGCAAGGTTAGAAAGATCAGACAGATTGAAAGATCAAGGCGAACTCCATTTTTTTTTCCCCGGACGAAGTAATTTACAATAAGCACGTACGCAACGGCCGGGCGATATGTAACGATGTACGTCCCCGCGTACGTGACGAGCCGCTATACTTTGCAATCTCAATTTAACGTTGCGCTCCACCTCCCTCAGGGAGGGGGGGATCCTTCGTCTAAATTCCTCCGTGGTGACACCGCGTCAAATTAGAGGGTCTCTAACGTCAAAGTCGCGCCCGATCCGCGAGGATAAAAACACTTGAATGAATGATCTAGCTGTTTGCTAAGTTCTATGATATCTGTGCTCTCTACTTAAATTCTATTATCTCCACTTAAAAGATTAAATAATTTGGAGTCTCGTATGTAGATAATAATGTAGATAATGATTATGGTTCCGACTTCTTTGAATCACAAAAGTTTAATGCAACATATGTACATATATTTCACGTTTTCTGTCGAAATTTGTATGAAAATCTTGTAAGATATCGGTTGAACAAATAGGATTATAAATGCAAAGATTATAAATGCTTCTTACGATTAACACTGTTGTGTGAATTTACTGCGATGATATTTAAATGGGAATCATGAAGAGATAATTTTAACTAGTTTTTAATGTTGATAAATTGAAAGAGATAATAATAGGAAAATAATAGAATAATTTAATTTAAATTTAATATAATAATTTTATTTTATTCAGATCCTGATCAGTTAGTCAAAGAATGCCAATGCGATGGGTGCAAAAAGAAAAAGGTGATTCTTCAGGCGAACAAACCTTGGAAGGAGACTAAGGCTTTCTTTACGTAAGTAACATTAAATATTTTATTATATATATATGTATATATATATATACCTATATATATATATGCAGAATATAAATTATGTTTACACGATTGTAAAAATTGTCACAGAGCTAAAAATTAGTTGCTTTTAATATGCGATTAATTATTATAGGAAATTTCTAATCTTTCTGGGATGGGCTATCCTGATACTCTTAGCCTACAAGGTGTCCCAATTTGATTACGAAATGGCCAATTTCGACCCGTATGAAATATTAAGCGTACCACCTGTGAGTACAAAACAGAACTTTTTTGTATGTACCATCAGTTTTTTTGCTGCGTAACAATGCCTGATGCCAAAGTTTCGATCGTAGGGTTCTTCCCAAGGTGAAATTAAGAAAGCTTACCGCAAGCTCTCCTTAATTCTTCATCCCGATAAAGAAACAGGAAATGAGAAGGCTTTCATGAAATTAACTAAAGGTAAGGAACAACGAAATGGAGACTCTGCACAGGTCTAAAATATATGGTGTAAATATTGAATGATACGTATTATTAGAAATATTGAATGATTGCGTATTATTAAATATACTTAATAAATTTATAACACATTTATTGCACACAATAGTGGTACAACATAGGGAAGGTCGATAAAGACCGTTAAAGTATCCGCACTCGAAATTAATCCTGTAACAGTTGAAAATTTGATATTAATTTCTGAAGATTATCCTAGGATTAAGTTGCTATCGCTAATATCTTAAGTATCCCTGATACGAACTAACTGAGTTGTTTTTCCAATAACCAAAATAGCTTACCAAGCTTTAACGGACGATGAGGCGCGCAAAAACTGGGAAAAGTACGGAAATCCGGATGGTCCGGGGGCAATGAGTTTTGGTATAGCTTTGCCTTCCTGGATCGTTGAGAAAGAGAATTCAGTGTGGGTCTTAGGACTGTACGCATTAGTGTTCATGGTTGCTTTACCGACGGTTGTAGGAATGTGGTGGTACAAGAGTATTCGCTACACTGGTGATCAAGTAATTGGCATTTCTGTGCCAAATTTTTTATGCGCGCGGCAAGCTATCAGGTGTTACATAACGCTCCGTGTTTTAACTCCGTAGGTTCTCCTGACGACGACCGAAATGTATTACTTTTTCTTCGTGAAAACGCCGTCTATGTCGTTGAAGCGAGTCATCATGATACTCGCCGCTTCCTTTGAATTCTTCAAGAAGCGTAACGCGGAAATAGTCGAGAGACATTCTGACAGCGAGGAAGTTCCTTCGGTAAATTTAATTACATTCGATTTCTTAAACTTTTTCTGAGATAAATAACTTTTGCTACATTATAAATATATAAAGTAAATAAATTTTGCTATATTATATGTTTCAGCTCATCAAGCAGCTACCTAATTTAGGGGAAAAGAACAAGGAAGTACCACTATGCCACTTGTATTCAATTAAAGCTAGAGCACTGTTGCACGCGCATTTATCCCGTATACCACTCAATCCCGAGACATTGGATAAAGACAGGCAGTACATGGTGAGGAAATGCCCATACTTGATTCAAGAAATGGTTGCCTGCGTCCATCAAGTTATACTGTTAGCTTACGCTAGAAGAGGTAAATGTTCATTTTATTCCCAACTCAAAGAGCGACCTAAAAAAAGGTGGTTTTTTCGCCCGTTTTTTTTTTTTTTGGGACCCTCGATTTTTAGACTGGACTGTGCCAAATGGTACCTATAATGAGATATTAATCATTCAGAGAAGTTTCAGGTTGAAAATTGTTATCAAAGCTGGAGGAGGGTTGAAATCTTTACTTATTACATCTCTTTACGCGAAAACTCGATTTTTTTTATGTCCAAAACGAGCGTCATTTATATAAAACTGCGATCAACCTTCTTAAAATACCGAATCTCGCAGATCTGTGATAATTTTATAACGAACTTTTATTTCACTTCCCTCCACCTTTGATAACAGTTGTCATCTCAACTTGAAACTTCTCTATAATTAATGTCTCATTATAAGGTTATCATTTGGCACACAGTCTCAAAATCGAGGGCTCAAAAAAACGGGAGATTTTTTGGATCACTCTTTGCGACATACATATACATGGAATAAACAATCATTGACTTGTTTTTATAGTACCGCGGGTACCAACTATAACAACTATAGAGAACTGTATGAAACTGTGTCCAATGATCGTCCAAGGATTCTGGGAGTTTAAAAACCCTCTCCTTCAATTACCACACATAACGGAGGAGAATTTAAAATACTTCCACGCGAAGAAGGTATTAACATAGTGACATTACATAGCAAATTTTATCTGTCAGTGACGCTTTTATTATTATAATATCGATGAGAATCAATTAAAAACGAACATGTGGCTTTTCCTTAGCGTCAAATCAAAAGTCTTCAACAATTCGCACAATTGAAAGGAGAAGAGCGAAGACTGATACTTAGAAACCTGTCAGACAGTCAATATGAAGATGTTATGAAAGTTCTCGGGAATATGCCGTACATTGATTTTAAAGTACGATCCGAAGGTAATTTATTGTTTGTATCAATTATTTTCTTTTATTTCTTTATCGACGTTTATATCAATTAGAGTAATTTATGCGGTATTATTCTTTATAATTTACCAGATGCATTATTTCAGTAATCGATGACGAGAATCCTACCGTTTATACTGCTGGTGCTATTGTTACTGTAACGGTGTCGCTTACTCGAAAAGACATGAAGCATCTCTTTGGTGACGACACTGTCAACGAGCAAATGATGATTGACGATAACAAAGCCGGCGGCGAAGCGGTTGAGGAAGCCTCGGAGGAGCAAAGTCAATCGACGAAGGCTGCGAAACCGGCGTGGCTCAAGCAAAAGAAAGGCCAAAAGAAGTCACATAAAAAGGGTACCAACAAGAAGTTAGCGCCTGCTAAAAATACACAGGCACAATCGCAGGCTGTGGCTAACAATACTCAGCACAGCAATACTCCTAATGCAAGAAAGAAGGACGACAAGACGGAGAAGGAGTCTTCCAAGGATAAGCTGTCGGACGTCAGTGACAGCGAAGCCGAGAGCGATCGAAGCGACGACGAGGATAGTCACGACAAAAAGGACGCGTCTCTCGATGACGACGACACCGAATGGGAAAAGTGAGAATATTTTTGTATTCTTTTTTTTTTTATGTTAAGCGGTGTCTACAATGAGATTTAAGAAAATTGATCAATCATAATCGCGGATTATTTTTCTCACGCGAGACGAATGATCGACTATAATTGATCAATTTTCTTAAATCTTAAGTCTCGTTGTAGACGCCGTTTTTATATGTTAAATCATTACTTGTATATCTCGCCCGAACCTAACGTTTCCTTTTCCTTCACACAGATTCCAACAGAGAATATCCAAGCGGGAGAGAGTATTAGAGGGAAGGAGTAATTTGTCACACGAAGTGCATTGTCCACTTTTTCCCGACGTTAAGCAAGAGTATTGGTGGGTCTATATCTGTGATCGCAAAAGTCAAACGCTGTTGACAACCCCTATACACGTCACGTCCTTAGCACAGTTCGAGGAGATTCAGTTAAGATTCACAGCACCACGCTGGCCAGGCCTTTATACATTTACCGTATGTCTACGTAGCGACTCGTATCTGGGCTTCGATCAGGCTCAAGATATCAAAGTGAGTCATTTAGGAATTCAAGTGACCTAGCAAAAAAAGTCATTTTTTTTCTCACTTCTAATACGACGTGACGACGCTTTTTTTTACAGTTGGACGTGAAGGAGGCGCCGGAAGTACCGACCGAACACCCGCAATGGGACATCTCGGATGAAGAAACTGCGGAAGATGTGGATGCAGCTGATGAACATTCCGAATTCACAACCGACGAGGACATTAGTGACAATGAATAATATCCGTTTCTCACGTGTGATCGGAATAGATATTCTAAAAGAAAAAGTCCGCATTTTCCTCTTTTTTTACTTCTCAAATTAATGTACAATGGACTTTTATACGTGGAATTGCATAATCGTTGATGTATGTGGACAATCTAGAGAAAAAAAAAAATAGTCTGGTGTGTAAGATTTGTCAGTGTGGAGAAAGTAATAGCGAATAAAGAACATAATATTTATTTTAACATCGTTGTTCAATCCTCAATTTGGATGTGTTCAATCCTCAATTGAGATCTGTATACAGTTTTCTAATAAAATGTATCAGTACAAAAATATTGTATCTATCCGTATTCAGGACGCATCTCTTTTAAAATCGTTGAGCGAATAGCGTGTTCTTCAATGTCCGACAACGATTATAACGATGTACAAAAGTAATAGGTATCGTAAAATCTGGGTTAAGCGAAAGTAGTAAAAGATGTTTAAGCCGCACACATACATATATACATAGCGCATAGAAGATCATTCAACCGTTGCACTTTTTATAATAGACACGATAAATTTAAAGTATCCGCCGATCTATCATAAAGACAGTCTAAAAGACCATCGACAACCAGATAGATCTGTGTTAACGATGAGAACGGTGAGCGTAATATTTCGCGCAATGCAAGTGAGTACATTTCATATTTTTGATACAATAAACATCCGTTGTCTATAATTAGACATTACGACTATATATATTTTAGGTATTTAAAATCTATCTTATACTCTACCTTTCCTTAAATATCATGGCTGTTGCGCTTGAAAGGGGTAAGTTTTTGTGGAAGAAAAATGTATTAAAATCGAATAACGAAATTAATAAAATTATTCTGCACATATACATATATATTCATATTGTGTATCAAATTAAAAATATTCAATAAAAATATAGTACAAAATATTTATTCACCTTGTATATGTATTATTAAAATTCAAATGTATTTTTTCACAGCCTTACATTCGCTTGTAATTCCGAAGTTATTGATTCTTCAATATTAAAGTAACTATTCTTCTTTTCAGTCTAAATGTGTCATTCATAAAAATTAATTTTTATACATCTAATATATATGTATATGTAGTGGACGTATTGCACGTGCGTAAGATGTTTATAAAATCAATTGTTTTTTTTTATAAGTTTCTTTTTAAAAGTCAGAATTATAAAAATACTTTAATAAATGTGTCGAAACAGGTCAGAATAATAAACATCAAGCAGTGAAATTCGAGCAACTGTCGAACAGGCCTGTCTACACGTTCGTCAAGACTGACAAACATGCCAACATTAAGTGGGGTGTACGGCATTATGTCCCGCGTAAATTAAAGCAAACAAGATTCAAGAATCGAATGTACTGAAATATGGGAATTGAAATGCTTAGCATGCTAAACTTGTTCGATGACATACACATGTATCGTATAGATTGGTATACGTAAGCGATAATCTAATCACGGATCCAATTTAACCACTTCGAGATACTTCTTCTGCATTTGAACCATCAAATTGTCCAACCTGAAAAAGATACAGAATGTAAGATAAAAATGCAAGATTAAAATGAAATGTCGTAGTAAAAGGGAGACTCTCACATGTAACGCATCATCAAATTGTCATATATCACATTATCTTCCGATTGAATAACGCTGCCTAATTTAGTGGTCGAGATATTTAACAATTGGTAGTTGTTGGATCGCTGAGGAACACTGCTACTGTCCGACCGTGCGATTTTTTGATATTCTTCCCAATACAATTCCGTCATGGCGGTAACAGAAATAAATACTTTTTCCAGTTTTGACAGCTCGTCGTACAATTTATCTATCTGCCTGTTGAAAATACATATTGAGGGTACAGGAAATATATCATTTACGATAAATGAACTTTTTCATACTTTTTTAATACCTTGTAATATCAATTATGTTCTTATTATGAAGTTGCGCTTCACGCTCAGTCATAAGTGTAAACATTAATTTCGACATGTCCAATGGCTTTGCTGTTTTATATGGACTCTCTTCCTTGAATTTTAGATATATGTCGCACATATTGTCGTATCTATGAAAATATAATGTAACAGGAAATATTAAAATATATTTTACAAATATATTTTACAAATAATTATTTGTAACATTTACTTACAATACTGACAGATTTGCTGTACAATCGATAGCTTGAGCCTGATGTCTCAATCTATTATTGTCTTCCTTCAGAGACATAAACTTCATCTTTATTTGATCAGCTGCGCTGATTAATTTATCAACTTTGTCAAGATAAATTTGTATTTTTGTTTTATCAATCGCATCTTCGTCCGTCTTCTTCATACATTCATCCGTATTCGTACATTTTATACGAATCGTTTGTACCTGATCTGTAAGAATCTTTGTGTTTTCCAATGTCTTCTCCATGTTTGTATTAAACGTTACGACTTTTTGATGTAACAAATCTCTGAAATATGCAAAATATTATCATATTTAATAGTAGGCGTTAATAAACGCTTTTATAATCTTTTGTAGCAATCAATTTCACATAAGAAACTTACACGCTTATGCTGAGCGCAAAAATATACAACTGAAACAAATAAACTTCCTTTTTCGTAAAATACATTGCATGACGGTAATAATCTTTCAGTACTTCATGGCTTAATTCATTTTTCGATTGTGTCATCATTTTCTCCACTGCTGTAGGAATATTTAATGCAGGCACATCCTCTACCAAACAACATCCATTTCTGAAGAGAAATAAAACGTGATCCTACACAGTAAAATTATGATAAATTTAAAAATAGCATTTTACCTCGTAGTATTTTACAAGTTGAATATACACATATACATACATTAATCTGCGACGCAAGTGGCGCGGCACTTTCAATTAGTATTGCACCTCTGTAATCGGTTATCACTTGATGCTTGACTTTAATATTAGTATCCCTTTCTATTAACAACTGAAGATCTCCGAGACTAGTATTACTATCAATTTCGTACGTGTTAATTTTGTAAAACGGCAAACAGAAAACATATAGTATCTGTGGGTGAGAGACAAAAGTTAAATAAGAAAAACGAAATGAGAGTAAAACATGTTCGTTAGCCTTCTATATAATACGTACTTTGTTTGATAATGCGTGTCGTAACATTGTAAATACCGCTAATTGGGGTTTATAAAATTTGTCGAGCCTTTTACCCCTTTTATGTGGATCCCATTGTAGGACCAACCGGAACCACTGGACCATTTTGCTTCGAAGGCAACTGAAATGGAAAAAATATTACGCACTGTTAATTAGGTACAAAAAAAGTTATCAAGCAAAAGACGTAAAAAGTAAATTTAACATTTAACGTTGCATGCACACTGCAATTACAGAAAAAAAAGGTATAATCCACTTCTTACTCCGATAAACAAGTTGGATCTTGAATATCTTTCCCAAAAATGACTTCTCCTTCCGACTCGTAAGCATGAATAACGTTGTAACTCTTATTTTTAATGTGGTTCATCCTGCAGAATTAAATTGAGCTTAAAATTTGACACTCCTGCATCATATTTGATCATTATATTTTTCATTTTTTAGTTTTTACCATTCTATAGTATGTTGCATTGTCGGTAAAAATGGTCTTGTTCCAGTTACAAGTTCATAAAATAATATCCCTAAGCTCCAGTAGTCGACAGAACAACTGTATTTTTCCCTCCAGAGAAGTTCAGGAGCAACGTAATTTAGTGTGCCGACTAATGAGGCAGTCGTACTCGCATCCCCAAGCTCTTTGGCATATCCGAGATCTATTAACTTATACGAAATCTGAAATACATATGTACATAAAAGTTTCATTAATTATAAGTTGAATTAATGCACGATGCATAAATTATTAATAATTCAAGTAATTTTCTCTTTTACATCTCACCACATTCTGTTCATCCTGTAAAACTATGTTCTCGGGCTTTAAATCCCGATGAGTTATGCTATGCGAATGTAAATATTCCACGGCCGACGAAATCTCGCTCATTACTTTGATCGCCTCCGTTTCGCTAATTCCACAACAATTTTTCGGCTGGTTTAAAATCTGTGAGAGACAAAAAGCAATTATTTTACATTGCCAACAGAGTGACTTGCATGGCGATTAGCTTAAGCAAAGTACAAACTTTTCTCAAATCTCCCTTCCTACAGTATTCCATACAGAGAATCGGCTGGTTCTCATCTACATTTGGAAGTTTAAATGGAATGTTTCCTGTTCTCACAATATTTGGATGCTTCAAGCGCTTCATTATCTCGACTTCGTTGGCCCATCTCTTTCGTTGCGTCGGCGTCAATTGCAAATAATTACACTTACATTTTTTGATTGCTGAAATCATCATTAATAATCTCCTTATAATATATATTTATCAAGCGATATTATAAATTTATTTATATGTGATTTTTCTCAGATAATTCTTTGAAAGATAAGATATTCAAACGTATCCCTTTTACACTCGTGTTAATAATCGTACTGAAGTATTACCAATCTTTTTGCCACTTTGAACGTGCGCCCAAAGCTCGACGGTTCCGAAGCCTCCGCTACCCAGAACGCGATTCAGCTTCCACCCGTCGCTGGACATCATCGCGAGTTCGTGAGATAAAATTCACCTCAGTTAAATATATGTGCGTGTGTATCAGATCGAAGACTGGAATAGTTCTTGGGGGGGTCGACGTGACCCCATGCTGATAAGGTAAGTGACACTTTTATGCTATTTTTCATAACAAAAACATACGCAAATCAATACTGTCAAGTTAATACTACTTACTGCTCGGCAATTGGGATTTCCTATCGGAAGCGCATCGGCGCTGTCAGGAAGATCATTTCGTGACGTGAATCCTCTCGCTGATGTTGCCAAAAATTCCCATCGACTTGCGTATCCTGCCTCGGCTCACAACTGACTCAACAACATTCTTCGGAGTCCAGCGTTCACTTGTCGTCAAACGTACACCGATTGGCTATCGACCGTGCATGTGACCGTCTTCGTGACATTTTTGTCACATGTGTAATGTGCAGCTCATTTTCTCTTCACTCCACATGAATGAATATAAAGTACATGAAACATGTCATATTAAATGTGCTCATTGATTTGTCGCGCCCGACAAATTAGTCGACTTGACTACTCGTCTGATCTCTCGTTTAACTGACAAAAGTACGTATTTTATTTCTCACTTTTTTTTTCACCGTGCCCTCTTGTCAAAATGAGGATCCCTCGACCGCAGCGGGACGTGTACGCGATTGAGACGGCGAGCGGCGTCTGCTGGGATCCTCCCTGCTGCGCACGCGCGCCAGACTGTCCCTCCATCTCGCAGCGGCAGCGGCTAATAGCCCGAACTACCCAGGAGCCGTCAACAATCATGGCCGAGATCTTTAAAAGCGGCACGGTACGGAGAGGCGAGTGTCTGATTGCTTTTATGGTGCGTCTGTGGCGGTAAAAAGAAAAGAGAAAAAAAGGGGGGTGTCTTGCTGTTCGCGCACCTGCACATCTCGCGGTATTTTCAGGAAAAAGAGTGAAAAAATCGCGGCTCGGTTGCGCGCTACGCGAGGCCTCTTCTTTGTGGACACTTTCGCGGCCTTATAGTTTTGCCTCCATGCCTGTTTCTCCGTAATGAAAATTATTATTAAATTACTGTCTCTCAACTGTCTTTCGTTAATTGTAATTAACAAGGAAGCGAATGCACGTAGCTTCGGTTTCCTGTTGTGTTAAGATACAATGTGGTGTATTACGTATACAATCTAACGGTAGCGTCCAAAGCATATGTATACTAATTGAATTTTGATCTGTTTTGTTATTTTGTGAGTTTATGTGTGACGTTTTTTTTTTCTATCATGTTGACTAATTAATATCTAACTGTTTTCTATCATGTAGCTCTTATCTTTTTATCACGTGATCTTCGTTGTGTATCACACAGAAAATTGTCGCAATTTGTGGTTAAATATATTTGTCCCAACTGCTTCATCTTTTTTTTTCATTACGGAAATGAGATTCGTAGCAAGGAATAATATATTTAATACAGTATGTCCAGTAAATTCTCTAATTGATGAATAAAAATGACTGTGCAAAAATGATTTAAAAAATACATAGATGAGGAATATTAAATTCTTGTGATTTATGTTAAACTCGAATCAGACTAAAAGATTGAGATTGGATTGGGATTTAACTAATTAGGAGAAAGAAAACCAATCTCAAATTTAGTGGACTTTGTTTTGATTGGTAAAATTCCAATCCAATCTCAATCTCGATCTTTAGTCTGATACGGGCTTTACGTTTGACTGGCCATTTTGTATATTAATAGCATTTAATATGTAACTCTTACAAAAATATATTTATTACATGGAACATCTTTCTTCAGATAGTAGGATCAGCTGAATTATGCCAGAAGATATCAGACGGCTTACATCAAAGTGCAAGAGAAAGGAAATGGAACATATCTGTGCATCAGTGTGAATCCATTGAAGACGTTGTGAAAGCGAGAATAGACATCTCTGTGGATTTTATCATTTTTGCTTTTGACTTAAGAGCGTCGCACACCTTGTCGGAAGTAAGCATCTTTTGCGCAAATAATTTTTAATGTAATCCTTTTTTATTTGTGCTAAATGGCTTACTATTTTTAATTTTATTAATTATTAACGATTATTAATACCTTTGTTTATTACTGCTAATAATAACAAATAATTTTAACAGGTAGCAGATAACATAGCGACGATAGACGAATACTATATAATTTCTGGCGCGGCTTGCCTGGTAAATTGCAATGGAATATCCAATGTTATGGGATTGATCAACAAGTCGAAGAAACTCTGTCACAAGTACAATATTCGTTTTCTCTCCGCCGACATTTCTGTAAGTCTACATTCACAGCTTAATAATCCACACATAATAGGTTGTATGCATTTTAAAGTATACTTCTCATTTTAGACTAAGCAAGTCTGCGTCTCTTTAGCAAGCAGAATTCTAAATATAACGGAAGGAATATTGGGATTAAACTGTGGTGTACCAGTTATTGGAACTGTCGCACAATACAACTAGATTACAGAGGTAGTGAGGTGCTGCATAGAGTGATTCACTGGTAATTCACATCATGTTTTCTCTCAAAAACTGTAGACAGTGTATTGAGCCGTTATTAAAAAGAAATGGCCAATAATATCAATCGCCAATAATAATATTATTTAGATCCAAATCAGCATCAAGATGAAAAAATCAAGCGGCAAGACGTACACTTCCAGCCAGGAGGACAGCGAGAACGACAGCGACGTAACGGAATGCAGCATCGGAAGCAACTCTACCGCCGGTACTCACCGCAGCGATACGCCGACTCGTAGCGCCCGTTACAAACGGAAAGGCCGTCGCAGGAGCAAAACGGCCAAGTACAAACCCTCCATGGACAAGCCGTTGTACAAGTACTGCTGCAGCGTCAAGGAGGATCACGGGCAGCCCCTGTTCGGCGTACAGTTCAACTATCACTTGAAGGAGGGCGAGCCGTTGATATTCGCCTCCGTGGGCAGCAATCGCGTGAGCATCTACGAGTGCCCGCAGAGCGGAAACATACGGCTTCAGCAGTGCTACGCCGATCCGGACACGGAGGAGAATTTCTACACGTGCGCGTGGACGTACGACGACTTCGGCAAGCCCCTGCTGGGCGTCGCGGGATCACGTGGCGTCATCCGCGTCATCAGCGCGGCGACGATGACCTGCATCAAGCACTACATCGGCCACGGGCACGCGATAAACGAGCTGAAGATCCACCCGAGGGACCCGAACATCCTGCTGTCCGCGTCGAAGGATCACGCTCTCAGGCTGTGGAACATCAAGACGGACGTGTGCATCGCGATTTTCGGCGGCGTGGAGGGCCACCGGGACGAGGTGCTGAGCGCCGACTTTGACATACGGGGCCAGAGGATCATCTCGTGCGGCATGGACCACGCGCTCAAGCTGTGGTCCCTGGACAAGCCGGACATGCAGGAGGCGATAAAGCAGTCCTACCACTGCAACCCCACCCGCAACGGCCGGCCCTTCGACTCGATACTGCAGCACTTCCCGGACTTCACCACCCGCGACGTTCATCGGAATTACGTCGACTGCGTGAGGTGGTTCGGCGACTTTATCCTTAGCAAATCCTGCGAGAATTGCATCGTGTGCTGGAAACCGGGCAGGCTCGAGGACTCGCAGCTGCGCAACGGGGAGACGAGCGCGACGGTCCTGCATCGTTTCGAGTTCAAGGAGTGCGACATCTGGTTCATACGCTTCTCCATGGACTTCTGGCAGCGCACGATCGCGCTGGGGAATCAGGTCGGCCGCACCTACGTCTGGGACCTGGACGTGGACGAGCCCGGGCAGGCGCGCGGCTCGTCCCTCCAGCATCCCCGTTGCACCGCGCCGATACGCCAGACCAGCCTGAGCCGAGACGGCTCCGTGCTGTTGTGCGTCTGCGACGACGCGACGATCTGGAGATGGAATCGCGATCATTGAACTCCACTCGAACACTTCCGTTTTTTATCGCGACTAAGAAGACGTGCCTTTATATGTATATGCTAAAACTATTATTGAATATTCGTGCTTTTTACAGCGGTTTTTAAATTCATAGGCGAAACTTAACAATGTAGATTAAAGCGGCGTCTACAATGAGACTTACGATTTAAGAAAACTGATCAGTCACAATCGATTTTTCATCTCACGTAAGAAGAATAATCGATTGTGATTGGTCAATTTTCTTAAATCTTAAGTCTTAAGTTTCATTGTTCAAAATCAAACCCATGTTATGCGACGTCTACAATGAGACTTAAGATTTAAGAAAATTGACAAATTATATTCATCTCACATAAGAAGAATAAACAACTGTGATTGGTCAATTTTCTTAAATCTTAACGTCTCATTGTAGACGCCGCTTAAAACCATAATCACACTAGCGATTGAAATTGAGATTGGATTGGAATGTTATCAATCAGAAAAAAAGTAATTAATATCGAGTTTAGTAAATTTTACTTTGATTGTTCAATTCAATCTCAATCGCTAGTGTGATTACGGCTTAATGTATGTACGCGCGCGTGTATAATCAAAAAATTGCATTCCCAATTATCGCATACTGAACGTTTTTTAATTGTACAGACTGCTATCCGACGACGTAGTTGTTGTCGACGTAGCTGTAGTTTTATAATGAAGAAATTACCAATTGAACTGCGAGCATCTCTAGAATTATAAGCGAATGAGATTATAGAAAATAGAAACCCAGTAAACGGAAATGGATTAAAATATTTTTTTTTTAATTGAAATGGATTGAAATTTTTTAAACCATGGATTGAAATAGATTGGCCTTTTTGGCATACATTTTTCATGAAGACCAATCCATTTTCGTTTAGTGGGAAATCATTTTTACATCTTTGCAAATATTAAATATAAATGGAATGTTTTTTAAATATTTTTGCAATATATGACAAGCGATATTTGTACTTAGAGGAATTAATTCTGTTTTATAGCATTCATAAGATTTTTATTCTCTCCTAAATGTTTTAATCTGTCCTAAAGTAATGAACTGCCTTTAATAAATTACAATGCAATTTTCGCACCAAATGTATAATTAATTTTAAGATTTCGTGATACGTAATTAGTATCATTCTTCGATTGTTACGAATCCGCGTTTTTTTCAACATCTAATTTGTATGAAAAAATATATATATATTTATACACATAAAGTTAGACGAAATTAAGGTTAGGTTAAATTGTATATATATATCTCTTGGCAACATTTTCAAAATTTTTGTATCTTTGTAAAAATAATAAACAAAATTAATGAACGATATCTCATAACCGTTATATTAAGCTCGAATTATTTATTATTTCGATGGAAAAAATGGTGATTTTTAACTTCATTTTGAGCGGTTGGCATTGCCGAGATTACACGTTACGAGCTGTCATTCGTTCGTGCACGTCACACGCGAGATTAGAAGATGAGCATTACACGTGTCGCATGTCGGGGTGCCAAGAGTTTCGGACGTATTAATTGTACAAAAATCTAACTGAAAGCTATTGCGATCCGCGTTCGACGCACAAGGTAAGATCCCTCTGGAGTTACGCGCGTGCAAAAGATCGCACGGCGAGAGCACGTCCTGTTTCTCGCGAGGGATATTATATATATATACCGTACAATTCGAAATTCGTTATTTGTTTTGCAGATGAGAACTTTGCTGCTTCTTGGTCTAATTTTCACAGCTGCCGGAGCGCAGTCCAAAGATGTCGATCTGAAGCACTTGAGATGTTTAGGTGAGGATCAATGTTAACTTCCTATGACAATTCTGTCTCAACAATTGATATAATCATATAAAATTCGTCAATAAGAATCTTGCATCTCACAGTTTGTAGGGCGACTATGGACGAATTGGAGATGGAGGTGCTCAAAGCTAATCCGAACAGATTAGTCGACGTAGGTAATTATAGGATGGATGCCGAGGGAAATACTATACGTAGGAAGGTAGGCAAATCATAGAGCGCTTTCCATTTGGTGGCACAAGTCGACACAAATGTCATTCCATCTTTCTTAACATTTAGTGAATGACAAAGACAAAATGATACTTACGTCGATTTGTGTCGCTAAATGGATAGCACCCACAAAGGATGTCTAGAAAAAAAAAAAGGTTATTTACGTTACATTTATTACGTATATATTTTTGCTGCTTTTACGCACTTGTAAGTCCATTCTCTTATTTCATGTGTTCAGTTTTCTCAATAGAATTTGGAATTTGTCGTTTTTTTTTTAGGTTCCGTTAGGTCGATCGGAAACACATATTTCGATTTTGTTGGACAATATTTGCGAGAAGCTGACGGATTACGTGAGAGCGACGAGGAAGTCCGACAATAAGTTAGTAATCTTCAACCTGATGTCTCCATCCGGTGGTATGAATCCTATGATGAGCGAGGTAGACATAATTCAGGACGGTGATTTAAACAAGAGCGTCAAGCATTACGTGAGTGCTGCTGTTTGTCGCGTTTTCCAAAGGCGTGTTCTTTAAAATTGTTCTCTATTATTAATTTGATTTAATGGTTTTCAGTGCACCTTTATAGTGGACGAATTTGAGGAAGATATAGTGTCATTGTATGTTGACGGTATAAAAAATAAGAAGAAGGAACTTTGTACGAACATGTCGAATCTTTGCAATAAGAATTACGTTGACGAGGATGACGACGATGATAACGATATTGATAGTCATGTTGATGCAAGTTTTGATGAGGATAGGGATGAATTGTAAATGCATTTGGAGCATTTTTACTGAATGCATTTCTACAAGAAATATTTGTACTATGCGCAAGCGAAAAGAAGCGGCTAAAAATTAAGTGATAATTTTTATTTTGTAAAAAAAATTCTACGAACAATTATAAATAATAATTTCACGTTTTGTTAAATCGTATATATGTATTGTACGATGCACTTAATTATCCAATATTTTACACTTGTCTCAAATATATACTGCTACATGTGTTTTAAAATGTGCAGTGTAGAGGCATCCCAGAGATTACAAAACATTTTAAAAATTTTTTTACAAAATTTATAGTAGATAATAGATATACACATATATATATATACAATATATATATATGTATGTATATATATATA